TGTTGAAGTTATCGGGATGTAATTCAATCTCAATGGCTTCCCTGATTATCCGATTTATGTGGTTGTCACCAGTCTACCCCATAGCACCGACCTGTAAATGAAAGATTCAATTGCTTGTTAAGAATATAATCATTAGGAACATGAGAATATAATCATTAGGAACATGAGAAACACACGCAATCACAGTCACTGAACAAGTTTGTTTCTTCTTCTGCTTCCAGTGATCTTCATCCCGCCACTCTCGCACAAATCTCACAGAAAGTACTGCATAAGATGACCGCGGAACACTTGAGATGTACGGTTGAAACACATCTGTAAGAGTCGAGTACTTCTTAATTTCTCCCTCGTCTACATTTCCTTCTTCTTCCTCTTTTTCATCCACTCCCTTTTCCTTCTTAAAATCTTCTTCCTCCTCTTTTCCTTCTTGTACTACATCTTCTTCTGCTTCTGCTGCCACTTGTGCACCTCCGCAGGTTGAACGTATGCTGCAGGCAGTAGTGCTCCCCCGCTGGTGGTGCTCCTGTTGCAGCCACTTGTTCTCCCTCGCTGGTGGTGATGCTATTGCATCCACGTGTTCTCCCACGTTGGTGGTGCTTGTGTTGCAGCCACTTGTTCACCCCTGCTGGTGCTGCTTGTTTTGTAGCCACTTGTTCACCCTCGCAGGTGTTGCTTCTGGTGCAGCCACTTGTTCTCCCCCGCTGGTGGTGTTTGTGTTGCAGCCACTTGTTTGCCCCCCCACGCTGGTGGTGCTTCTGGTGCAGCCACTTGTTTTCCCACGCTGGTGGTGCTTGTTTTGCAGCCACGTGTTCTCCCCCGCTGGTGGTGCTTCTGGTGCAGCGGCTTGTTCTCCCACGCTGGTGGTGCTTGTTTTGTAGCCACTTGTTTTCCCCCGCTGGGTTTTGCAGCCACGTGTTCTCCCTCGCTGGTGGTGCTTCTGGTGCAGCCACTTGTTTTCCCACGCTGGTGGTGCTTGTTTTGTAGCCACTTGTTCTCCCTCGCTGGTGGTGCTTCTGGTGCAGCCACTTGTTTTCCCACGCTGGTGGTGCTTGTTTTGTAGCCACTTGTTTTCCCTCGCTGGTGGTGCTTGTTTTGCAGCCACGTGTTCTCCCACGCTGGTGGTGCTTGTGTTGCAGCCACTTTTTGCTCCCCCGCTGATGCTGCTGCCGCCATTGCTGCTACCTACAACAGATCTGCCATAAATTTTGAGGAAAATCAGTCACCCTAATCCAGCCCCACCCCACCCCCCTCTGGATTATTGAATTATCGTGGTGACATAATATTAATCTAATCTAATCCCTCTCTAACCGATTGATGATATGTTACAGTGATAAGAGAATTTGATTTCTTCTTCTCAAGCTCTACAGTCCACTATGAACTTTGGCTTCCTTCACAATTCATCCCCAGGCCTGACGATCCTTAGCTACAGTGTGCCAGTTTTTAATTCCCATAATTTTCAAATCTATTTCATCTTTCCACTTTTTACATGGCCTGCCTCTCTTCCTTACCCCACCATATTAGTTAACATTATATTTTTTGCCATTCGTTCCTTGGCCATTCTTACACTGTGTCCTTACCATCTCAGTCTCAATGATTTTATAACTTTTACAATAACTTCACTTTCTAATATATACTCTATCACCTTATTCGTTCTTATTCTCCAGTTTTCTCTTTCCTTTGTGATTCCAGAAATTTTCCTAATACTTTTTCCTTCAAATGTTCTAAGGGCATTCATTCCATCAGCCGCCATTGTCCAAGTTTCTGACCCATAGCTCAAGATAGGTCTTATTAGTGTTTTATACATTTTCATTTTTGTTTTTCTTGACTGAAGTTTAGATCTTGAAATTTTAATATGTGCATAATATGCACAGTTTGCTAACATTATTTTATTACTTATGTCTTCCTTCAATTTATCATCGTTATTTATTACTGAACCCACATATGTAAACTTTTCAAGCCTTAAATATTAAAATCACCTATTGCAATATTTTCAAGATCTCTTCCTGCTAATAATGTGAACATTTTCAAATATTTAGTTTTCTCTTCATTTATTTCTAATCCCATTTTCTTTCCTTCGTCCTCTAATGCAATTACTCTTTTTTACAGTCCTGGGATATTTCTTGCAGTTAGTACAATGTCATCAACATAGGCACATATTTGTATACAATATTTCCTTTCTCAACAGTTCCTTCTAAGACTTTATTTAGTGCTATATTAAATAGTGTTGCTGATAGTGCATCCTCCTGTCTTACTCTTACCATTGTATTAAAGGATCTACTACTTTTATTGCTTATCTTAACTTTTTATGTGTTACCCTGTAAAGTCATTCTTATTAGTCTTATTATCTTTTCTTATTATACCATCATGCTCTAAGGCTGTAAACAATTGATTTATATATATTCTATGAAAAGCTTGTCTAATAACAATAAATAGAATGTGTAAATTCGTATTATATTCATAACACTTTTCCGTTGTCTGTCTCATTACAAATATTTGCTCAGGGTGCCATTTCATCTTTCCACCTTTGACGTTGTCTGTGTCTCATTACAAATATTTGCTCAGGGTTACTTCTGTTAAGTCTGAATCCACATTGGTAATCGCCTATTATCTCTTCAATATATACATTAAGTCTTTTGAGTATAATATTTGTGAAGATTTTATATATTACATTTAAATGGGTAATCCCTTTGTAATTACTACATTGCATTTTACCTCCTTTTTTAAAAATCAGACATGTAAGACCTTTTTTCCATTCTGATGGCATTCTTTCTTTTTCCCATATCATATTTATGTATTTACTTATGTATTCTTCCTAACAGAACTTGGCTTTCTTGTTTTATTAATTCTGCAGTAATAGAGTCCTCACCCGGAGCCTTGTTATTTTTCAATTATATTATTCATTCCTTCTTTCACTTAATTCATGATGGGACATTCAACAAAGGGCTGAGCTGTTAAATATTTACTATCTCTATTATTTATTTAAGAGCTCTTCAAAATACTCAGTCCATCTATCTAAAATTTCTTTTTCATCTCCTATTATTTTACCTTGCTTATCCTTACATGCATTGAGTTTTGGTTTATTGCAATTTTTTTATAATTAAAGTTTACCTATAAAATTTTCTATTTTAATTTTGAGAATTGACTTCTTGTATTGTTTGTAATTGTTCATTAATAATTTCTCTTTTCTTCTTCCTACATTTTGTATTGACTTCCCTTCTGTAGTTATTATATATTTCACATTTTGATCTTGTTTCATGTTGTAACTTTATTTTTCTAGCTTCATTTTTCTTTTCCACAAACCTAAGACAATCATTGCCAAACCAATCTGCATTTCTTCCTTGTTTCTCTATTCCTATATTGTCAGTTGCAGATTGTGTGATTGATTGTTTGATTTTATTCCATTCTAGTCCCACACTTTCTTCCTCATCATTATCATTGTACAAAACAAAATGCTGTGATTAAGAGAATTTTATTTGTGTTGATACATTCCAGCATTTGGCCGAAAGGATAGGAGTCTGACTGTTTTTTTTTGTGGTTATCCCCAGTCTCCTCCGTAACACCCATCTGTAAATGAAAGATTCGAACGCTTGTTAGGAATAGAACCACTAGGCACCTGAGAACCACACGCAATCACAGTCACACGATAAGTTTATTTCTTCTTCTGCTTCCAGTGATCTTCTTCCTGCCGCTATTGACACAAATCTCACGGAAGGTACTGCAAAAGAGAAGGAGGAAACACTTCAGATCTGCAGTTGAAACTCAGCGGTAAGTGTCGCAGTACTTCTTCCTTCACTTACTTTCTTCCTTCATTTCCTTTCTTTCTTTCTTTTTCTTCCTCTTCTTTTCCTTCTTATCTTCTTTTTCTCCTCCTCCTCCTGCTTTGGCTTCTGTTGTTCATTCCTCAGTGCTGATGCTTCTTGAAACTAACAATTTCATATTCTGTGTCTTAATTTTTTCTTATGTCCTGTATTTGTTTCGCTGTGTTCGTGGCATCCATCACACTCTAAGTACATGATCCCAAGGCACTTAATACCCAGACAGACAGTGATGAATGGGACTGTGATCTTTTGCGATGCGTGAGTGAAAGCGGTAGATGACACAGTATGCCACATTGTGCTAATATGGTTTTACTGAGTAATTGAAGAAGTGAGGCCTATGCTTGGACCCTACTAAGGCAAATAAGTGGTATGCAACAGTGAGGAAAGCTTTCATTCTCACCACATTGACGCAGATGTTCATGATTTGTATCAGGAATGTGACGCGCTCCTGTCTAGCCACTTTCTGGGAGAGTATTCGGGAAGACCCCAGTGAAGTGGTCGGAAAAATCTCGAGTCATGGTACGGATAGTGGGGATCTCAAAGGCAGAAGAAGTGTGAAGACATGGCTTGAATATCAAGATTCCTTTACTTCCACTTTCATCAAAACGACTCTGGTAAGAGCGAACAATATGTGCAGCTGGCACTGCATAGCAAACTTGCTAACGTATTGAGGGACCACAAGAATGCTGTCTCAGGTATGAGGGTTCAGGAAGTTGTTCTTTACGACTGATTAATGATTTTTACAGATGGGTTCCATCTACACATCCTTCTAAAATATGTTTTCTCTAGCCATGTGACAAGTGTCAGGTCATTTAATTGGCCCGAATAGCAACTCATATACTCGTTTGAGTAGTAACTTCTAATAATAGAATGAAACATGTGGATGCAGCTAAGCTGTACCCCACGGTAGTTAATTGAAGACTGCCTGTCACGGGAAATAATATGGCAATGAAATTTCTGGTCGCAGACGCAATCTACCTACTGTGCAACTGGCTACCAACTAATATCAGTCTACATCACAAACAAAACAAGCATCTAATATCTACAAGAGCACTAATCATCATTACTCAACCATAACTACACACCCACAATCACTACCATCAACGCTACAAATCGCAATACTTGATACAATACACAACTTGTCAGACCAGAAATCTCATTGAGAAGTTTTGCACGTAAGAGTGAAATTAAATGTAGTCCGGCACTAGCGATGTCTGTGGAGGCATGTGCTTCCCATTGTGTAATGCCTCCCATAATGTCCCTGACTGTTCGGTTTCACTCTGCGGTAAGCGAAATCGTTCGGGCTATTCCTAATATCTTGTATCTGCAATTGATGGACCTAATTTTGGTCACATTTATGATAGTGGATGAGAAATTGCTAAGATTTAGATGCCAGCTGTGGTGTGGAGGGCAATATAAATTTGTAGCTGCCCTTGTTACCTGCGTTCGATTTGCCGGATATCTCGTATTTAACGGAAGGTAATGAATGTACAGAACTTGCCTGAGTCGGCATGCCACGCGACATCTCGGAAATGAGATTGAGAACATTCTCAAAGTTCTAAGTGGTCCTACCGAAGCAACGAGTTGTTCTTGAGGGTCAGCCAAGTGGGAGATATACCCGATGAACCCTTTCCCTGAAGCGGCCAATAAACAATGCCCGCGTGCAGTGTCTCCTAACAAGGTACTCAAGAGAACATTGTGAGCTGAATGCCATGACTTGACTTAGGAGGAGGGCATGGGCAAAATTAACATGACAGGGAAATTTTGAACATTGCCACTCAGCAAATATTCTGTTGCATGATTAAGTTATGGGAGTGTTGAAGCATGAGACATGAACACAAACACACACCACGCCTGACACACATAACACAGTCTGCTAACACGTTCTGTCTTCAGTATTGTCGACAAATTTCTTGTGTTCTCTCCTATTCTGTCATCTCTCCACTTGTCTCTCTGCTTCTATCACATCCTCTCTGCAGCATCTATGTAATATTCTGTCTTTTCACGTCTCCTCTCGTGTCCTTCTCCGTCTTCTGTTGCAGTCCGTCTTCTGCCATCTCTGCAGTCACCTCTGTTATGCGTCCTGTATTCTCTTCTCTTCTCTTCTCTTCTCTTCTCTTCTCTTCTCTTCTCTTCTCTTCTCTTCTCTTCTCTTCTCTTCTCTTCTCTTCTCTTCTCTTCTCTTCTCTTCTCTTCTATGAGATCCCTTGCCTTATGTTCACACCTCTGCTACCTCTTTTGCTGCCGTATCCTATCCTATCCCTGCCCTCTTCTTTCTTCTCCCTCCTCTTTTGTCTCACCATTCCTCTCCTTTCCTCCTCCTTTCTCATCCCTGTTCCCTTGTTCTGCCTTGAGTCCACCTGCATCTTCTCTTCTCATTTCTTTACTTCTCTCTTATTAAGACTTCATTGCTTTCTTCATGTGTTGTCCGTTGTCTCCTTCTATTTCGCACTCCTATGGTCTTTCCTCATGACCCAGGGGGTAACTCAGTCACTTTTGTGACTTTGTTACGGACTGGACGACCAGGGGGTTCTATCCCAGACAGGGGCAGAGGATTCCTCCTCTAGCCTCTGCGTCCAGACTGGCTCTGGGCCCCACCCGTCCCCACAAGCACCTGCATGGCGTATAGTGAGACGACTTCATTTATGTTCTCTCCTCTTCTCTTTTCCCTTCCCGTCCATTCACTGCACTGTTCCTTAAGCTGCTCTTTGCTCTTCCTTCTCTTATTTTTGGCTCTCCTTTCATCTTCTCAAGAATACTATGATCTTCACTTGGTTCTTCTCCCGTTGCCACTTGTCATCTTTCACTTTTTCCTTGTCCTCTCTCCTCTTCTATCTTCTGTCTTCCTTCTCTTCACTAATATGTCTTCCCTTCCATATTCTTAAAATTTGCATACCACGTAGTGTATTGAAATATAAAAACAAGTACACAAACAAACTGTCAACACTTTAAATGACACACTATTTCTTCCATATATTCTTTCTCTAATTTCTCTTCTCCTCTCCGTTCCCCTCTCTGCCATCTTGTTCTCTCCTATGTTCTCTTTTTTATTTTCTTCTTCTTCTTCTTCTTCTCCTCCGTATCTGCAATTGATGGACCTAATTTTGGTCACATTTATGATAGTGGATGAGAAATTGCTAAGATTTAGATGCCAGCTGTGGTGTGGAGGGCAATATAAATTTGTAGCTGCCCTTGTTACCTGCGTTCGATTTGCCGGATATCTCGTATTTAACGGAAGGTAATGAATGTACAGAACTTGCCTGAGTCGGCATGCCACGCGACATCTCGGAAATGAGATTGAGAACATTCTCAAAGTTCTAAGTGGTCCTACCGAAGCAACGAGTTGTTCTTGAGGGTCAGCCAAGTGGGAGATATACCCGATGAACCCTTTCCCTGAAGCGGCCAATAAACAATGCCCGCGTGCAGTGTCTCCTAACAAGGTACTCAAGAGAACATTGTGAGCTGAATGCCATGACTTGACTTAGGAGGAGGGCATGGGCAAAATTAACATGACAGGGAAATTTTGAACATTGCCACTCAGCAAATATTCTGTTGCATGATTAAGTTATGGGAGTGTTGAAGCATGAGACATGAACACAAACACACACCACGCCTGACACACATAACACAGTCTGCTAACACGTTCTGTCTTCAGTATTGTCGACAAATTTCTTGTGTTCTCTCCTATTCTGTCATCTCTCCACTTGTCTCTCTGCTTCTATCACATCCTCTCTGCAGCATCTATGTAATATTCTGTCTTTTCACGTCTCCTCTCGTGTCCTTCTCTGTCTTCTGCCTTCTCTGCAGTCACCTCTGTTATGCGTCCTGTATTCTCTTCTCTTCTCTTCTCTTCTCTTCTCTTCTCTTCTCTTCTATGAGATCCCTTGCCTTATGTTCACACCTCTGCTACCTCTTTTGCTGCCGTATCCTATCCAATCCTATCCTATCCTATCCCTGCCCTCTTCTTTCTTCTCCCTCCTCTTTTGTCTCACCATTCCTCTCCTTTCCTCCTCCTTTCTCATCCCTGTTCCCTTGTTCTGCCTTGAGTCCACCTGCATCTTCTCTTCTCATTTCTTCACTTCTCTCTTATTAAGACTTCATTGCTTTCTTCATGTGTTGTCCGTTGTCTCCTTCTATTTCGCACTCCTATGGTCTTTCCTCATGACCCAGGGGGTAACTCAGTCACTTTTGTGACTTTGTTACGGACTGGACGACCAGGGGGTTCTATCCCAGACAGGGGCAGAGGATTCCTCCTCTAGCCTCTGCGTCCAGACTGGCTCTGGGCCCCACCCGTCCCCACAAGCACCTGCATGGCGTATAGTGAGACGACTTCATTTATGTTCTCTCCTCTTCTCTTTTCCCTTCCCGTCCATTCACTGCACTGTTCCTTAAGCTGCTCTTTGCTCTTCCTTCTCTTATTTTTGGCTCTCCTTTCATCTTCTCAAGAATACTATGATCTTCACTTGGTTCTTCTCCCGTTGCCACTTGTCATCTTTCACTTTTTCCTTGTCCTCTCTCCTCTTCTATCTTCTGTCTTCCTTCTCTTCACTAATATGTCTTCCCTTCCATATTCTTAAAATTTGCATACCACGTAGTGTATTGAAATATAAAAACAAGTACACAAACAAACTGTCAACACTTTAAATGACACACTATTTCTTCCATATATTCTTTCTCTAATTTCTCTTCTCCTCTCCGTTCCCCTCTCTGCCATCTTGTTCTCTCCTATGTTCTCTTTTTTATTTTCTTCTTCTTCTTCTTCTTCTCCTCCTCCATTCTCTCTCCTCTTGTCCTGTCCTGTTTTTTTAAAATGTGGGGAGACTTCAAATCCTTTCAGACTCATTTCCACTTCCGATGAAGTGAACACTGTTTCTGTCTCTCGTTCTTCCAGGAAATGGAGCATTCTTCATTCCTACTTGCAGTTGAGCCACTTCGTGTGGAGTGTGGATACTGTCTTCACCATTCTAGTTTTGCCGCTTTCCAGGGATCCCTGTTGGACAATACCGTGTTGCACCAAGAGGGACAACCCCTTACTTGCGTTGCCCGCCCCCCACGACGAGGACGTACTAGAATGGACTTGGGGGGGCAGCGGATTTTGCCTCTAGTTGTCCTTCACACAGACAGCAAGTAATCAGCTTTCTGATTATGTTATTTCAGGAATTTACTATTACTTCACATTTTTTGCTTGATTCAGTTTTTGGATGCACACGTGCACCAGTGTCCTGTTTCGCCAATGAAGGATGCCTCTTGACATGAAAAAATTTCAAGTTGAACTAGGAGCCCGTTGCAGACCTAACTGATTTTACGTGCCAGCTATATGGAAGAAAATCCACAAAGTTTAGTTTTAAATAAATGAAGATGAAGTTTGCAAATTTCAGATTTTCAGAAATGCAAAGACAGCCTGCATTGTGATGGAAACAATCTGTGAAGGAGACTCATTTCCACTTCCTATGAAGTAAACACTGTTTCTGTCTCTCGTTCTTCCAGGAAATGGAGCATTCTTCATTCCTACTTGCAGTTGAGCCACTTCGTGTGGAGTGTGGATACTGTCTTCACCATTCTAGTTTTGCCGCTTTCCAGGGATCCCTGTTGGACAATACCGTGTTGCACCAAGAGGGACAACCCCTTACTTGCGTTGCCCGCCCCCCACGACGAGGACGTACTAGAATGGACTTGGGGGGGCAGCGGATTTTGCCTCTAGTTGTCCTTCACACAGACAGCAAGTAATCAGCTTTCTGATTATGTTATTTCAGGAATTTACTATTACTTCACATTTTTTGCTTGATTCAGTTTTTGGATGCACACGTGCACCAGTGTCCTGTTTCGCCAATGAAGGATGCCTCTTGACATGAAAAAATTTCAAGTTGAACTAGGAGCCCGTTGCAGACCTAACTGATTTTACGTGCCAGCTATATGGAAGAAAATCCACAAAGTTTAGTTTTAAATAAATGAAGATGAAGTTTGCAAATTTCAGATTTTCAGAAATGCAAAGACAGCCTGCATTGTGATGGAAACAATCTGTGAAGTGGGTCTATGCGTTTTTGTGGACATTAACTGATGCATCATTCATTGTTACACCCCCTCGCCACGGTGAGGCACAGGACTTTGAGGGGGGGATATGAATTCCTGGTCCGTCTTCAAGAACCGAGGATTCCATATCCGAAATAAAGGGCACATGTTGGAACCCATCCCAATGCCGATACTGCTCTAACTTGCATCGACCGAGAGTCGACTCATTGCCTTTAGGGCCTGAGTCGGAATGACGGTCTGAGCTCATGAAGAACAATAAGAGCATCTTTTGGAATACCAGTCCACGTCTCTTCATTTCACCACATCCTTCCTATCATTTATCCATATAGGTATGTGTAGCTATCTGCGGTTAAGTTCCTAAGTTTATGTGTTCTCCCTCCCTCTGTGACACCCCTCCCCACCGCCCCCCGGGAATCCCATCTTGAGTCAACTCTCCGGAAACCTGTGCAGTTGATGATAAACAATAAGAGAGCCTTTCATGAATAGGGAGAGTAAATTCCTGCCTCCGCAATCAATGTTCAGTTGCATCCTTGAGACTTTTCAGTATGAATTTGCTCGGACATCCCTTGCGCATTCCTGGACCTCTTCTGAGCTACCTTACTTGCCACTGTCTAACATCTCTCACCCCATGATTTAACTAACATATAGAAACGAGCAGCAGATTTTGCTAAAACATGATGCTTTTTTATTTTCCATTCTCTAAGGTTACGCTGTCTTAGTTTCAGATGTCCTCAAAACGAAGGAGCCAATACTAGACCCACGTCAGTGTACTGAGAGGACTGTGCGGACGGGACCTGCTCTTTTTTTTGAGACGTTGGGACTGCAATCGCTGGCAATGGACACACGTAAATTTACAGATCTTTTGGTGTTAGTTAGAGTTTGCCGGCCATGCATCATGCATGCAAGACATACAGACAGAATGAAGAAGGAGGAGGAACCACCAAGCACATGAAGTGAGTTGTATTAGTTGGTATTATAGTTTTTTAGTGCAGATATATTATATGTGACCTGTTAATCTGTACGTGTGTGTTGCCAGTTGTGTTTGTACACATAGTTTTCATTGCTTAAACATACCGGGAGCTGTTAACAGCTCAATATCATAACATCCTGTACCCTGCTACGTTATATAAACACTTCACTAGATATCAACAAGTACTAAGCTCAGTGTCACGTTGTCCTGTTTGAAATCATGGCAAGCTTCCTAGGAACGTATACAATGTAATGTGCCCGCATCTTATACAAGAGTGCCTAGACTGTCGCTTGTTGACTGCTTCCACGATCATTATGGACGAGGCTCAGAAATTTAGGAACAGTGGTATGTTCTTTTAACTGACACGCATTCTGGAATGTCGCCGTGGATTTGTAGCTGTGTCGTAATCCAAAGCTCTGTACTTTGAAAGCTGGCGGCTAAGGCAGAGCATCCATTCACATAGGTCTATGATAAATATAAATATAAATGAAGAAGAGCCAAACTTCATATACCTTCAAAATATCTACCCTAATTTTTTGAGGAACATCAGTCAGCCTAATCCCTACCTTGGATTATTCAATTCGCATAGTTACAATATTGATCTACTCTCTTCCCTATCTATCCTATTGATTTCTGTTGATATATTCCAATATTTGGCCAAAAGCATACGAGCCTGACTGTTTTATCACGATAACTGTCTTCTGTGTTGTTGCGCCCTGTAGTATGGTAGATGTTTACCAACGTTTCTGGGGGGAATGCGGTTCTCTATGGAATGCTTCCGCACGCCTCGAAGTGTGTGAATGAGGGGCTTCCATGACCGGTTCAGGAGATGTCCGTCTTCCCTGTTGTTGAAGTTATCGGGATGTAATTCAATCTCAATGGCTTCCCTGATTATCCGATTTATGTGGTTGTCACCAGTCTACCCCATAGCACCGACCTGTAAATGAAAGATTCAATTGCTTGTTAAGAATATAATCATTAGGAACATGAGAATATAATCATTAGGAACATGAGAATATAATCATTAGGAACATGAGAAACACACGCAATCACAGTCACTGAACAAGTTTGTTTCTTCTTCTGCTTCCAGTGATCTTCATCCCGCCACTCTCGCACAAATCTCACAGAAAGTACTGCATAAGATGACAGCGGAACACTTGAGATGTACGGTTGAAACACATCTGTAAGAGTCGAGTACTTCTTAATTTCTCCCTCGTCTACATTTCCTTCTTCTTCCTCTTTTTCATCCACTCCCTTTTCCTTCTTAAAATCTTCTTCCTCCTCTTTTCCTTCTTGTACTACATCTTCTTCTGCTTCTGCTGCCACTTGTGCACCTCCGCAGGTTGAACGTATGCTGCAGGCAGTAGTGCTCCCCCGCTGGTGGTGCTCCTGTTGCAGCCACTTGTTCTCCCTCGCTGGTGGTGATGCTATTGCATCCACGTGTTCTCCCACGTTGGTGGTGCTTGTGTTGCAGCCACTTGTTCACCCCTGCTGGTGCTGCACCTTCAATATATCTACCCTAATTTTTTGAGGAACATCAGTCTGCCTAATCCCTACCTTGGATTATTCAATTAGCATAGTTACAATATTGATCTAATCTCTTCCCTCTCTATCCTATTGAGGATATGTTACAGTGATAAGAGAATTTGATTTCTGTTGATATATTCCAGTATTTGGCCAAAAGCATAGGAGTCTGACTGTGTTTTATGTGGTTAACCCCAGTTTCCTCCTTAACACACATCTGGAAATAGTTTCCAAGATTAAGATTGAAATCGAAAATGATAGAAAATAAATTAATTTATGTCAAGGTCACTGCGACCAAGAGCACCAAATAGTTCAGAACCTGGAAAGGTCTGCCTTAGCACTTTTCCATTCCTCGGTTCAGAGTATCGTGATTTCTGCTGGACACTGTGCAGCTACCCCACAAGAGAGCACATATCACAGTAAATTACAAACATTCCTGGAAAATAATTTCACAAAATATAACAGAGTTTGGTGTAGCTGCACCTTGCCTACCACAGCCTGGCACTTTGTAGCTCCATGCCAGCTAAAGGAAAAGATTTCTTTTAGTTTAGTCTGAAATTAATTTTCATGTCGACGCATAACACATCATAACTGTACACATGTGAACGTTATTAATTGGCTTTGTTCTGCGTAGGTTGGAGAGTGTCTTACCACCAGACACACATTTCAGTGGTGTGGATTGAACCCTACCAGTTGTGGTAAACACTCCCAAACCTGATTCTACATGGAGGCAGAATGTATGCAGGGGCCCTATTTTGCTGACTTCAGCAGACAATGTGAATATCAACACTTTCTTTCAAATGGCTTGGGGTATGAATTTAATTGAATTGAGGGACTGGCAGAGAAGGAGCATTCACGGCAACTTGCAGATAATAGAATGTTCTAATAAGGACTCTTTGAGTGTCCTGGGCATTAGCAGCAATACTTGGATAATTTGGTATAATGGAAAACCTGAGTACCCTGGGCATTAGCAGCAATACTCAGGTAATTTAGAAAAAGGAAGAAATCTCTGAGTATCCTGGGCATTAGCAGCAATACTCAGGGACATTTGACAACGAGAGGAACCTTAGAGTATTCTAGGGCATTAGCAGCAATACTCCAAAGTAAACAGTCACACATTCTGCTACGTTCCCCATCCGCGCCTGGCATGGTTCGCTACGCAGCCATGGTTCTGTGGTACCAAATATAAACTGTTGCTTTCCTACCTTTCGGTGAGTTACTGCACATGCTGTTGGTTTGTCCAGTGACCTGCTGGTGTGACACTGCCATTTCTTGAAGTTCACCTGCAAAACAAATGGCTGTCATCAACTTTTCCATGTAGCTTCTTGTTTTGTGGCATTCACAATCACAGTATGACTGTCATGCTTCTGTAAAATTCTCTTGTATGAGGCTTGTGTTCAGTGTTATGGGTGATACTATTACCAGCATGACTTAGCTAAGAATTTTGTCAGCATAGTTTTCCATAACTCTGTTAAAATAATTGGGTCACATGAACCATAACACATTCATTGTTCGTTGTTCAACAATCAGCACAGTGCTAAACTGCATTAATTTTTTAGTACTGATACTGAAGAAGCAATATAATGCCACAAAACAAGAAAATTCAACACAAAAAATAATACAGTGGCAGTGACAAATTGACAGGAACATTTTGTGTGGGTGTGTGTGTGTGTGGCCTTAAACATCACCTCACTGCTACGTTATTCATAACTTCTTTCATTGTATCTCACTATTCAAGTATACACACAGCGTTGAAAGAATACGAAGAATCGTAATTGCACCATACATGGCTACCACTAGAATTAAAGGAGCGCTGTCGCCACTAACTGACAACTAACGGTTGTCTCTACAAACTGAATAAAAGCAAGCACTAGGAGAAAAGAAGGAACACTATGCAGCCTGCACAATATATATTTCTAAGAGCATAAAAAAATGTGACTCCGAAGGGCATTAGATCTGACATTCTGGAGCACAGCTACCTGGGAAGAAGTTTATGTAAAACTGTAAGAAAATGTCCATCCTTAATAATCCACTAACACAACAAAGTTGCATTCTGAATAAAAGGTGGTTATTAGGGGATTAGAGGTGTGTGGAACAGGCTTAGGTTCTTATTCAGTTCTGGGCATCCTTAATTATTGAACCTACACATTTTCCTACGAGAAAGTTGGTATGAGAGTTAAATACTGACCATGAAATTCTGTACACGAGTTCCATTTCCCACTTGTGAAAATAGACGAATACTGAAATGAATTCCATAAGAACTATTAAGATATTGGAAAGTTTTTATATGGTAGATTTCGAAAGTTGCTGTAGATCCAATAATTGAAGGAAAGTGACTGAAAAAGGCGTGGAATTATAAACCTACAAGATAAAAGTATGAAGATAAATAAGAATGATCTTATGGAAATGGGGGAGGTGTGCACAGGATTCACGTGTCTCCGGATACGGACCGATGTGATTTTGTAATCCCAGTAATGAAAATTTTAGTTCCTTTAAATGCAGGGAATTTCTTGAGGGGCATTGCACCTAAAGGAGGCCTGCTCAGTGCAATTTACAAAGTAGAATTGGTTCTTTGACAGATACCATTTGTGTTCAATATGTAGGTCCAACTACCACCTGGACAGTTTTTTATCCATTCTCTTCACATCAAACTTAAGGGGGATATAGGCCTAATATATATATATATATATATACTAACTATTACCCCCTCACTCCTTTCCAAACCATTGATGTAACTGTAACTATTGTTTCCAACAAAAAAGCTAAAGGATGGAGTCATGCACAAGAAATCTTCTCCTGCTAAGTTACATACTAAAACTGAATCATAGGATTTGAGGTTTTCACGGCGGTGAGTCTGGATTGTTGTGCCGTGTAATCTGGTAGAAATTTGCCTACTGCACAGCGCAACAACCCAGAAGACAACCATATTATTAAAACTGAAGAACTGGAAAGGGATTTCTACGGACAACAGAAACAAGTTTGTAGGATGATACGGAATACCAGAACGGAACTGAAGGAATACACGCAACGACTCACTGGAAGGCCTGCCATCCAAGATTAAAGTCGGGAGGTAACCCTCAAAACTTATGAGAGGCCACACGCGTACAGACATTCTCCTCGCAGTTTTGCGGCCAGTCTTTCATTCATCAATTGATGCTACATGTTCAGTGAAGACGATGCGATTTTATTCAGTCTTGCTATTACTTTAATGTCGAAAAACAAAGAAAGCTAAAACGTTCTAAGTGGATCAGACGTTTGTTAGATAGACCAAAGCATTCTCACATAAATTTGTTGAATGAAGGAACTATGAGGATTTAAAGTTCTTAGTGGTAATTTCAGCACAAGCTCTAGGTAAAGTTATTCCAGAAAAACACACAACCATTTACAAGGTTCTCCGAAAAGAATAGTGCAAGGCATGTAAACATTTATTCAGATCAAAATCTTCTCGGGCAATAAGCCGCGTCAACTGGTTCCCGAAACGTCGGTTTACTACGGTAACCAGTTGACGCGGCTTATTGCCCGAGAAGATTTTATTGATTTTACTCTCCGCGAAAGTCTCAAATCCTATATTTATTCAGATATCTGCCATTATATTGGAACAAAAATATTTACCGAAATATTAGCGGTGCTGGAAGGTATTCATTCGATATAAAACGCAAACAAAAATTAGGGCTGTATAGGGAGTGCTGTGCTGACTGATTGAGATGACTAAATGCTACAAGACTCGTCTCTGCCCACACACGTTACTGTTTGTAAACAGACTTATCGTAGGCTCGATTTCCATCAAAATTCACCACACGCTCTGGTTTGCCTTTCGGTAACTGGTAGCGTGTATGGCCACCTTTAGAAACAGCACAAATAAGTGTGGGAGGACTTTCAAAAAAGTTATATGAAGAGAGTGATAATATGAAGAAGAAACGTGGTCAACATTAACGAAATTGAGATTGAAAAGAAGGAATAATTTATAATATTTAAGAGGGGTGACGAAAACGGGAAAATTACGTAGGCATCGCCTTGTTAAATTCTGCATTAAAACTCAACCAAGATAATTACAAAGAAGTTGCATGAAATAATAGCATTGTCAGATGAACAAGGTTACCGTACTGGAAGGCAGATCGTGCATAGGTGCAGTTTTTATTGTTAGAATTTAACAAAACTATGTGCTTTGTAGATTTAGAACTAGCATTTGATAAGGTAAGACTCAGATACTATAGTGACTTCATTGTTATGTTACCTAGGAAACGTCATCTGTTTACTCGGCATTATTGTGTTACATCATTGCCGTCAATAATCCGCTTTCGTTATTACGTACGAAACGTCATCTGTATAAAGGAAATATTTAGATTAATGCCAATATATAAACTTCCTTTCCGTAAAGACGTATTTACGTCAAATTCTCCGGAACCGTGGTCCCACTGTCACTTTTTCCTTAGAATGACCGATACTGTGACCTCCCAGAATATCGACCCTTCCTCCTGGGACACTCTGTAGGGGAGACCCGGGCAGAAAGGGGAACTTAATTTTTGGAGGCATGTGGAAGGGACAATAATAAAGATAAACGCATGGAGGAACTTTGTGTGGATTTATTGTCTATTTGAAATTTAAAATGAGTTATTAGTTTAGTTCTACGAATTACATTTTTTTTAAAATATTAATTTCTTTACAAGAATGTAACTTGCCCCGTACCCGGGGCAAGACGGGGTATGATTGATATATGTTTGAAAAGTTGCAAGCAGACACAGATTATCTAATAATTATGACGTAGGATATAACAATGATTTAGTATACAATGTAAAATGTCCAAACTTTACACATTTGAAATCTACTTAGGCCTAATGTAGACGGCACACACGTGCACCTCTTCATCATCATCGTGTCTACCAACACCTGCATTTGTGTTATGGGCCCATTTCAAGCAAGAGGGACACCGGATCCACCCTTCGATAGACTGCGAATAGACATCGCCACTTTACAGGCACTTGTCATTTGATCCTCTTCTCTGGGTACCCCATTCTGCCCCACCCTATCCGAGTATACTCTTTCAAATTAGGATTGTGCCACCAAAAATAACATCATGACTTTCAAGAAAACATCTTGTAACATGCATTATTCAACAAAGTGGATATGAATAATGAATAGGTTCTACTTTCACTGGAAGTTGAGAAAAAATTGTAAAATGTAGGATTGGGTGATTATTTCAGAAACTGTAACCAAAAAATGGCGCTGACTGGCATGACATGACCTTGTGCTGTATGCTATTTCATCCGGTCCCGATAGATAGCAACGCATTGCAGACGAAATAAAGCCGATTCCCTGGTCTCCCCTATGTAAAGAATACGCACGCTACTAACAATACTGTGGTCAGTAATGTAGAGGAAATCATATATATTATCAGACTGCGTGGAAATCTTAAAGTACCGGACGAAAACCACATGGCCTGCTAATCTACAAATTCATCAATCTCTCAGACATGTTAGTTGCATTATTCGTATATATGTCGATCTAACGTAGTGCTAGGTAGTTTATTATAAATTTTATCGTCTTCTGAGTTGTACCATATACTCTGATAGAGTTTACCAACGTTTCAGAGGTCCCTGCCGCCTCCATCATCAGAGCTATCATCGCCCTGATAATGAAAGCAGCAGGGACCACTGAAACGTTGGTAAACATCTACCAGACTACATGGCACAACCCAGAAGATGGCCATCGTCATGTGATCAATTAATTGTTACAGATTAACGTCTTACGCTTGGGCCTTATTTGGACACCATTAGTGTTAAAATATAATTAATTTCTTTTAAATTGGAAATTCTAATATGCCTGTAAATTCCACAGCAATATTTGAAAATAATTCACAAAATATAAAAAGGTACAATCTTCCTCAACTCAACCTGGCCATAATTGATGGGGAGGGATCATTATGCAAGACTTCTGTACAATTTGTAGCCTTCCAAAACTTAGTATTCAAATTTAAAAAAGATGTTCAAATAAGTATATTATCATGACTCATGTAAGTTGTCACACTTAGTTCTCAAATTTTCTGGACCATACAACTTCATGTTTTTGTTTCATCATAGCTGTAGTCAACCCAATGCATCAGCAAGCTACATATGCCTTCTAACTAACTAGATGGCTTACCGAACCCGAAGGTTCATCACCGAATCAACCAAAGACCTCCACCGGACCCTGTTCTCCTTCACCTCCTATCTTCCCATCTACGTCTACCAATCAAATACCTGGTGCACACCTTGTCCCATCCATGCGCGCTACATGCCACGCCCATCTTATTTTTCTCGACTTAATCACCCTGACAATATTAGGGGTATTTTACACCATTTTCTATAAGCCTTCTTTGAGAAATGTAAATTCCTGGTAAATATTCCCAACCCCAAGTTGGATGACCACCCCTCGACTGCTTATTCAATATATTCGCAGCTAACCTCCCCTACACCCGCAACCCAGACTTGCCATGTGATTGTGCAAGGGACCCCACCATACATATTCCTTCACATACGTTCGGTGGTACATTTCTAGCACTAATCTTACAATTTAAAACCAGTTAGACCTGCCTATCCACCTTTCCTAAATACTAAACACTACCACCATTAGTTTTATCGTGTAACATAATTTTCATTCTAGAAAACTCAAATGGCTGGTACCCACGAACAAAGTTCCTCCATGTTGCGACTTCGACATAATCTAAAATTTCCACTATTTCACATCCCTTAATTCATCTGAAATCTTTATGACTGCAAGATTCCCACTCGTGCACGAATTGCAGTGCAACTCTTATTACTTACCTTACATTAGAAACATGAATAAAATTCTTCTGCTCAGTCCCATTCATACAGCACACATCACTGGTTTTTCCAATTTCCCTCCGCACTTACCTTTTCTACCATAATTAGTGCATTATATATACATATATATATATATATATAAAAAGTATTTGAAGAAATTTATAAAGAGAGGACTGATTATTTTTTATTTTGGCATTAGGAAGTAGGGACAGGCAAGATCATTAATATACAAATGCATATTAATCAGTATTTTGATATTGGTTTACTTCCTATAAACATTTTCTCAATAGCAATAACAAAAAAGCTACGAGCCAGCCAAAAATTACCAAGGGACTTTCAGGAACCCCTGGTAGCACAACAAATCTTTCTTACATAAATGCACACACAAACGGAATTGAGGTCTGGAAGTTGAAACCTACAAGACTAATGTCCGATGTAATTATTTTAATATTATTGCAAAATATTATACTTTATAGCAGCAGGCAATACTTTTTTAATATACCACATATGTGCAATATGCTATGATAAGACGATGAAAACAGCTGTTTGCAGAACCTGAAATGCAAACCTTCCACAAGGACACCCAATCAGAGGACAAACAGGAAGAAGTTGCAGATAGGAAACCAGCAAAACAAAGATACATACAGCAAAAGAATCACAGTTTTATAATTATCAAAATGACAAAATGGTATCACAAAACCATCGATGAAGCTTCATCAAGACAGGAAACGGAGAATTGGAAGATGGGGGTGAAAAAATGACGACAGGTGTTTTCTGGAATACAAAGATTGGCAACTAGTACAATTCCATGATGAAAGACAGGAAACTGTGAAGAATAAATGGGTCTTCAAATTCAAGGCGGGAAGGAGAGACTAGGGAGTGGATTATGATGAAATATTTTCCCATGTTCAACAATCAATGTGCTCCTAGCTCTGGCAGCAGAGCTGAATCTCGATGTAGATCACCTGGATGATTATCTTCCTTACTGGTGATGTAAGGTTTTCCTTCCTTCCAGTTGCAGAACTTATCTAGAATAAACAATGCCACACTAACTTAGTTTGTACCCACGAGATTTCAGGTTCTCACAGCAGCCAAGTATAACGAAGACTCTCCTCGGATGTTATGCTGTGTGCTCTGGTAGAGGTACTTCCTGACTGCACCACCAGGGCAATGAACTTACATTTTTATCACAACGCAGCTGCACAGTACAACATATATGCCAATGTCCGATCCACTTTAATTTACTATTGTCAACTATGTAAACGCACGGTTTCGATTCTAAGAGATTCATAATTCTGTAATATGCGCTGTCCTATCTTTATCAAGGCATTACTTTAAATAATTATTTTTAAAACTTGAGCTAAAACCAATAAAATCCTTTAAGTATAAAAGTAAAGTTTGTCCCACTATACGCCATGCAGGCGCTTGGGGGGAGTGGAGGTACAGCTCCTCTCTTTCTTGACCTCGGCACTAGATGGGGGTGAGTGGTCGGCATCACGCCCCGGCCGTGCTTTACCCCCGGGAAAGGACCCCGGTACCCATTGGATAGGAGGCTGGGTGGGCCCCAGAGCCAGTCTGGATGCAGAGGCTAGAGGAAAAATCCTCTGCCCTCGTCTTTAAATATTACTGTTCTTCAATGTAGCTCACTTAAGCTTGCCTGTGTACAAACTTCTTGACTTGCACATAATAACTGCATGTCTGTGTATATTACTAATTGTCACTGCTAAACTGCCAGGTTTTCCACATTTTGTTAAGTAGTGAACACTTAACTATGCAGTTAGTGATAATTAGTATACATATAAAAACTTACAATTATACGCAAAACAAGATGGGTAACACAGACGACAGGCTAAGAGAGCTTCATTAAGTAACATTGATATTTCAAGGATTTCAGTGATCTTAACACCGGTTAAATTAATTATGTAAAGTGATTTCTTGTTCAACCGACAGAATACGGCATATTGCAAAATTGATAATGATCCTCATTGAATCAAGACACATTAGTTGGCTTATCCAATAGCGAAAGAAAGTGAATGGACATTACAGAATGTTGTATTCCTTCACGTAAGTTTACATCGGTTAATTATCAATGACAAACCCTCAACACTACCCACCAGACAACAGGACCAAATTATAGATATTTTAGAATGAGTAACAAATCAAAATTAAATTCATGAAAAAAAATTGAGAGAAGTCTAATTTTACGCAGGATATTACCATTGAGTTCAGAATCTTTTCTCTTTCCAAACACACGTTTATAAATGTAAAGTATAAAACTATAATTTCACCTGTTGTCTCATATTAGTATCAAACTTGGTGCGACACTTCAAAGAGCAACAAACTGAGAGGATCTGAAAACGAGGTACTAAGGAGAATACATGGAAGTAAGAGGAATCAAACGACACTGGAAATTAGACAAAACTGCACGAGGAGCTTCATAACTTGTGCTCTTCACCAAGTATTGTTAAAAGGATCAAATCGAGGAAGACGAGACCAACGGCAAGTAGGAACCAAGAGGAAATCAGAAATTCAAGGACCTTTGGTTGGAAACTCTTAGTAGAAGACATCAGTTGGAAGAACCACACAGAGAAAACAGGATATTACAATGTATCTTTGACAAAAGGAACGAAGGTGAGGGCAAAACTCATCTGGCTTGGGGTAAAGACTATGGACAATCTTCTGTGGATACCGAAAACAAAAGGACTCTGTTGCATAGTGTCACTAAGTAGGCGTTTTAGACAATTAGTTATATTACAGTTACTTTAAATTACCCCATTTGTACAGTCAGTCATAATTACTTTTTAGTATACTATATACCCATGTTTTGATCACTTATTTCAACACTTAAGTCTGTATGCATACAGACGAGTATTCTAGTTATCCCTCCTTAGTCAGTCCATTATTTGAAAAATTATAAAAACAGTTAAAATAAGAAATGTAAAATAATCAGTCAACGAATTAGTCGATATCTCGGAACACAACCCAATTTTCTAGTGAAGTTAAAGTTATTAGTTGGTTTAGACACAACACTGAAAATAACACATATGAAATAGTTGCTTAATATTGCGATACAACTCCCAATATCCAAAAACCACAAAACAGCAAACCCTACAAAAATATTTAGAAATGAATCCTACGAAAACACTCAGTTCGACACTCCAATTAGTAATATTTCTACAAGTCACATGATATGTAGGATATGAAATTTAAATGCTAACCTGATGTTAATGTGGGCACCGTTGCAATTCTGCTTCCTCCATGTCCTCACAGTTGCATTTGCCTGTAGGTGATGCTGTGTTACTGGTCTTCAATCCACAGATAATTCTGAAATCAATTCCTATGGACTCAATACAGATGAACAAATTTTAACGTCAGGGTAACAATGTTGTCATTGCACACATGAAAATAAACCAATTCAGTATTGAGTAATTTCTTAAAAAAACTTATTCATCTCAGCCAAAGAATTAACATGCCCACATAAATAATTCTCAATCATGAGCTGATGTTCAAAGTGGGATTTTAATGAAAGCAACGATTAAAATTAATGATCATAGTTCCTAAACTTCACTCAAACAAGTCTCTAAAGCAGAATTTACAGAATTATCAATAACCCTCATAGATAATATGACAAAAACGCAACTGGCTCTTTCCAGAAAGAAACACACTTTTACCAGAAAAAAGTTCAGGAATACTGGCATCAAATTCAACACTGCCAAGCGATCCAAAAAATATTGACAACATTCAACTGCATAAATACTGCACTTTCTAATTAAACTGAGCCCAACTGAAACTTCTTTTTGTACATAACTGGGTATTTCTCTTTTCCCTCCAATGCCTTACTCTAGACTGCCATTCATTTCACAGCTTCTTATTCAAATACTATCTACTGTTCAAAAATATATTTCTCCGTCCGTGTGCCTGCCTGCAGGAGCGAACCTCTGCCAAGCTGAAACCCTTCAAGCTTCATAAACTTACCTTTCAAAGCTGTCTCCACAGCTGCAAATCTTGGTTCTCTGCCCCAATCCATGTCTGCTCTACAGTCCCATCAACTTTTACTGTAGTCATATCCATCCTGCAACAAAATTAACATTCCAATTCCAATACCAATCTCACTCTCCAGTATTTTCTTCATCTTCCAGAGACCATTCCTCTGCCACGTTACAAACATATCAAACTCATTTAGGAGTCGTCACAAGTCAAACTGTCGACTGCCCCACAGTTAAGTGTCATGCAAAGAAAACATTGGGAGGTGACAAACTGCATGGGCCTTCAGGGCAAAACTGTCAAATTAAATGCTGAAGAACAATGGTCTTGAATTCCATTTCATCTTATTTGGTCAGATCATGTAGCATACAGATCAACCAAATAGCTGCTATAAATCTGGCAAGAGCATTAAATTTTGTCGATTTTTATTGTTCTCAGACCCAACAATTCTCAAATTGGTGGATTGCATCCTACCAAATAGACCCAAACCACTAGCATACAGCAAAAGTTTATTTAGGCCCACTAGTACACAATGAACGAAATAAGATGTCAATACAAAAATTTTAATATACCAAGTCAGTGCTCACAAAACTTTAACCACTCTGTTTCAAAGACATTGTATCCGCTGGTTTCTAGTTCTACACAAGTGGCTTTTCAGACGGCACTTCGGCAACGATTCCTACTTATACGCCAACCTACATGAATTTTTCGCTTCAATCCAAATGTTAAAAAATATAAAACACAATACGATTCATAAACTTTTCTGTTTGTAGTTATTTCAATATTTTGTACCCCGATATAACGGCGCCTTTTTATAAGTTTGGGGGCCACATCCACAAAGTTCGAAAATGGCGGAAAATGCAGCTTCTCATGAACAGGACGAATGTAAATTATCCACCGAAATCGAACACCATTCAATTTACATCTTACCTGAAATTTCGGAATTAGTTTCTTCATATAAAACAGATTTTCTTGATGAAGATGATGTCTCAAAAGTGTTCGTAAATACACAAGATTTTTATCAATAATTACAGACCGCCATTCTCATACATTCGATCGATAAGCCATCAGATCAGAAAGACCGTCATGGCTGCCTTCCCCCCGTAACACCTACAAGAATTTTTTGGTTTCCTTGTTTAATATTCTCGTAATTATCTTTCAAGTGATTACGCACTTCGTTTACAATTATTTTCCACACTGCCGCCCGCACCCACACGAAACTTTAACCATGGAAAATTTATTGGGATGCTTAATTCCCTTAACCTCGCAATTTTTTTTACGTATTCGCGTGTTTACAAATCCAGACATTGATTTCATTTGTTCTTTCGTTTGCTTGTTTAATCTTCACGTAATTTACTTTCAATAAGTTACGCATTTCGTTTACAATTACTTTCCATTCATTTAATAATCAAGTTCTAATTTAATTTCCTTTGTTTATTCGTTTACGAGCCCGTTTATTTATTGCAGTAATTAAAACAAATTCCTCAATTTTCAAGTTGACAAAGAGCCGAAATGGACAAAACACATCAGCAAACCTTCCTCCGCTACCTACACCTCACCAACACTGTCCAACCCAAATCTAGTGTTTTTTTGTTTTTGTTTTGGATTTTCACTGCATAATTAAGCATGGAATAATTTCTGACTGATTATTCATCTTTACAGAAGAAATATGTTCACTCTACAAAACAAACTCCTTCAAAAAACTACTGATATCAGATCTAGAACTTAATGTCCAAGTCAATTTTAGAGGTTAGAGATCCCAATCAATTAACTTCATTTTAAATATCCAAGAACATTCTCAAAATAATTCTGCTGTACACAGTGTCAAACACAATCAACAAGAAATCAGCTTCACATTAAAGCCAGCCTCTCATGCTTTCAGAAGGGAGAATATTAAGCACGAATTTGCATTTTCAACAGTTCGAGGCTCAGAAGTCTTGATAATAAATAAACACAAGTTACACCAATAACCTATTCCGATACAACTTATGGGCACATGCAACACAATGAAGACATGAATCCTACTTCCTGAATTATTCCTGTATTTTGAGATTATGTACTAACAATATTACATGTGGCATAGCATTATGAAATTGTGGAAGTGTGTATAAAAAACACTAATTTTTCTTGGGGCATCCCCCACCTCCTAGTTTTAGAAACATTTTGTCCCTTTGATCGAATTTCAAGAGCTCTGTTCCTCACCTTAGCAAACACTCTCCTGTAAACTTCCGATAGGGGATACTTCGAAACGTACATTATAATTTATAGTTCCGATCCCCACATTAAACACAATTCTTGCCGCATAATTGTTGTATTACAGCGCTGTCACAACTTTGGTGTCTCAATTTCTCTATGGGCCAGTCATATGTCACTTACCTTTCGTACCATTACTGCTGTAATTACATATTTACAGGGGTGTGATGAGATTATTTTGACAAAACGCCCACACCACCTTACTATGTTTTATTCTTCGCTTTCACATTTCAATGTGTGCCAACATAACAATTTACAAGTACTGATGTTTTCATACTGGTTTATGGCATGTAAAATCTTATATTTCAGACTGGAAATTACAGAGAGTGATCATAATTAGCGAAAACTTAATGAGGGTCTCCATTAGCACCCTCCAGCACATCACACCCCTGCACACAGACACACACATGCTTGCATTTAAGGAACACAATTCCTAAAAGTATAAATTTACTTGATGTCTGGTATGAGTGGATTGGGAAACCTGCTCCGTCACATAAAGAGAGTGTCTTAATTGGTCTTTGAGAATAGGATAATCATGAGAATTGCACCTAAGAAAAGCCACAGGAAACTGGACAAAAATTCATAACTAGGAGCCCCTTAATTTCTGCCCCTCACCAGGTATTGTTACCGCGATCGGGTGAGGGAAGATGAGGAGGGCAGGGGAGGCACATCAGCAATGTGCAGAAGTTTGGTTGGGAAGACTGAGGAAAGGAGACCTTTTGGAATACTTGTACGATACACACACTGATGACAGGATATTAGAATTTATCGTTTGTCAACACCGAAGGATGTTCAGGGTTGGATTCATCTGGCTTCGGAGTAGGGATTGACAGCCGTCCCCAGTGGGCACTGAAATTACCTCCAGGTTCCACAGAACTCGCACAGGTTTCTAACCAGCCGAGCAGTGTTGCCATCTGAAGGACTCTGCTACTTAGGGCAAGTGAGCGAGTGGGTAGGAGCTTAATGTAGTTAATTAGTTTTATTAATTTGAATTTACTTCCAGTTTCAGCTTAGTCTTTCATTTTATCTATAGTTCATTAAATATATTTAATGCACTCTTCAGTTTCTAGTCAGTCACATTTTCATTACATTTTCTCTGTTATTTATTCAATTTTAATCACTTGGTCAATCATGTAATTAGCTCAGTTCTCTGCACAGCAGGATATATTCTTATAAACATTAATTCTTAGTTTAATAATCCCACTATTCTTAAACTGTGGGTCGCACACCCTTAGACAATGTTTGGCAGTGAATAATAATAATCGGAAACAATTTTTTTATTCTAGTTTTCATTACTTATCAATCTTAGATTTGTTCAAGCTTCCTTTTCTCATTAGTTTCCATATTTTATGATTGTTTATTCTCTATTGAAGTACATATTTAACACTTTTTGTATTTTATTTTATCTACTCACTTTTCAATCTGTATTTTGCAACTCGGCACAAAATTGGGTTCTCAGGCAACTTAAAATGATGAAATCATAAACAGATTAAGTAACTTTTTCAGGGAAGGATGTCGCTACCTTGACTGTTGGTTACAAAACAAGTCTGAAGACAGGGAAATTCAAGAACTTCTGGGATAAAATTCTAAGCTTGTATTCCTGGACTCTTGTTGACCGAATCAATTCAATGGTCATATTAAACACATTCTCAGCTCCACTCCAACATTTGGTACCAAATATTAAATTTCTTTCTAATTATCCATCATATAACAACGGTTTCTTTACTTCTCCGCCATCTCCTGCTTTCATCTAGCGACATCAAACTATACTCTAAGTAGGAAATGAAATGTAAACACTAACCTGATATTAATGTAGACACCTGTTCCTCCCTGTCATCAATGTTGCATTTGCCTGTAGGTGATGCTGTGTTACTGGTCTTCAATCCACAGATAATAATTCTGAAATCAATTCCTATGGACTCAATACAGCTGAACAAATTTTAACGTCAGGGTAACAATGTTGTCATTGCACACACATGAAAATAAACCAATTCAGTATTGAGTAATTTCTTAAAAAAAAACTCATTCATCTCAGCCAAAGAATTAACATGCCCACATAAATAATTCTCAATCATGAGCTGATGTTCAAAGGGGGATTTTAATGAAAGCAACAAAATTAATGAACATCACAGTTCCTGAACTTCACTCAAACAAGCCGATCTAAAGCACAATTTACAGAATTATCAATAACCCTCATAAATATGACAAAAACGCAGCTGGCTCTTAAAGAAGCAGGTACACACATACTCCACTTGCCAGACAAAATTTGAACATTAATTCCAGAAAGAAACAAACTTTTGCCAGAAAAAAGTTCAGGAATGTTGGCATCAAATTCAAACACTGCCAAGCGATCCAAAAAAATTGACAACATTCACCTGCATAAATCCCGCAATTTCTAATTAAACTGAGCCCAACTGAAACTTCTTTTTGTACATATCTGGGTATTTTTCTTTTCCCTCCAGTGCCTTACTCTAGACTGCCATTCATTTCACAGCTTCTTATTCAAATACTATCTACTGTTCAAAAATATATTTCTCCGTCCGTGTGCCTGCCTGCAGGAGCGAACCTCTGTCAAGCTGAAACCCTTCAAGCTTCATAAACTTACCTTTCAAAGCTGTCTCCACAGCTGCAAATCTTGGTTCTCTGCCCCAATCCATGTCTGCTCTACAGTCCCATCAACTTTTACTGTAGTCATACCAATCCTGCAACAAAATTAACAACATTCCAATACCAATCTCACTCTCCAGTATTTTCTTCATCTTCCAGAGACCATTCCTCTGCCACGTTACATACATATCAAACTCGTGTAGGAGTCGTCACAAGTCAAACTGTCGACTGCCCCACAGTTAAGTGTCATGCAAAGAAAACATTGGGAGGTGACAAACTGCATGGGCCTTCAGGCCAAAACTGTCAAATTAAATGCTGAAGAACAATGGTCTTGAATTCCATTTCATCTTATTTGGTCAGATCATGTAGCATACAGATCAACCAAATAGCTGCTATAAATCTGGCAAGAGCATTAAATTTTGTCGATTTTTATTGTTCTCAGACCCAACAATTCTCAAATTGGTGGATTGCATCCTACCAAATAGACCCAAACCACTAGCATACAGCAAAAGTTTATTTAGGCCCACTAGTACACAATGAACGAAATAAGATGTCAATACAAAAATTTTAATATACCAAGTCAGTGCTCACAAAACTTTAACCACTCTGTTTCAAAGACATTGTATCCGCTGGTTTCTAGTTCTACACAAGTGGCTTTTCAGACGGCACTTCGGCAACGATTCCTACTTATACGCCAACCTACATGAATTTTTCGCTTCAATCCAATTGTTAAAAAATATAAAACACAATACGATTCATAAACTTTTCTGTTTGTAGTTATTTCAATATTTTGTACCCCGATATAACGGCGCCTTTTTATAAGTTTGGGGGCCACATCCACAAAGTTCGAAAATGGCGGAAAATGCAGCTTCTCATGAACAGGACGAATGTAAATTATCCACCGAAATCGAACACCATTCAATTTACATCTTACCTGAAATTTCGGAATTAGTTTCTTCATATAAAACAGATTTTCTTGATGAAGATTATGTCTCAAAAGTGTTCGTAAATACACAAGATTTTTATCAATAATTACAGACCGCCATTCTCATACATTCGATCGATAAGCCATCAGATCAGAAAGACCGTCATGGCTGCCTTCCCCCCGTAACACCTACAAGAATTTCTACCCATAAACACCTTCGCACGCACAGGCTCCCACACTCCCCCCCAAACCCCTAGCCTACAAACACTCATACCGTGGGAAGGTTATGGGGGTGCTTATTTCCTTTATCCTCTCATTTTTTCTGATTTTCTTACGTATTCGCGTGTTTACACTTCTCTTTATTAATTTCCTCATTTGTTCAATATTCTCGTAATTATCTTTCAAGCGTTTACGCATTTCGTTTACAATTATTTTCCATTTATTTTATCAAGTTCTCTTTTAATTTCCTTTATTTATTTCTTTACGAGTCCCGTTTGTTTATTTATTTACTTCAGTAATTAAAACAAATTCCTCGATTTACAAGTTGACAAATACTCGAAATGGAGAAAACACATCAGCAAACCTTCCCCCGCTACCTGAACCTCTCCAACACTGACCAACCTAAATCTAGTTTTTTTCCCCATTTTCACTGCATAATTAAATATGGAATAATTTCTGGATGATAATTCATCTAACACTCCTCCGTATTCTGGATGTTGGGGATTCATAGCTCGGCCCGGAGAGCGGCTATCTTGACGGTAGTTTCTTGCTCTTTCTCAGTCCCTCCAGGTAAATGCTAGGATATTACCTTAAATTGGGTCACGACCGTTTCCTTCCATATACTTTGCAATCTTGTCTGAGGTACTAAAAAGCGTCGTTAAATAAGCTAGAAATAAAATTCTTAATTGTATACGCATACTGCAGCTGCAAGGAGCCTTTTCCTTGACCAGTCCCTTTCGCAAACATGTGTTTTCGTCTCTTTTCCCAATTAAAGTTTACATTTTAATCGGTAGGAAGGCAACAGAGACAAGAATATATTCTCGCATTATTTGCTTAAATGGGAACATAAGCTTTAACTCTTGCTGCTGAAACTTGAGCAAGTTTACCAGTGTGAATGAGTCCCAACTGAACACCTGCACGTACGCACGCATGCACGAACACACACACACACACACACCCTTCCCCTCAAAACCATTGCACAGCTCCAAAAGGAAACCGTGTGAAAGTTCACAAGAACTCCATTCTAAGGATCCGATAAACAAAAATAACAAACGGTAGCCGCAGTTATTAATGGAAAGATAATAGTTACATGGCAGCTGGCACTAGGATGCCATGGCGCAGCTGCCAGCATCTCGGCCAAACTCAATGTATTAATTTAGTAGTCATATATCGCACCTGGCATCCGTCTGGCAGCGCTTCCAACTTGGCATCGCTACCAACCAAGATGCCAAGTTCTAATGCTACTGGCATCGCTGCCACGGCCAGGGCCAAATCAACATCACACGACAGTCTGAGGCCAGTCGATTGACGTACGTGCGATGTGCTTGTGTGTATTCCTTTCAAACATGGACAATTTCGACACCGAAAGATTGATAATTGAAATTCAGTCCCGACCATCACCATGGGATTCATGTATTGAATACGCAAACCGGGACTTGAAAAAAATAAACTGGGTAGAACTTGTGGAAATATTTGGAGATTTATTTACATAAGAAAAGAAAGAATTAGGTAATAAGTGTTTCTATGGCTTTATTTGTGGGGCCGCTTTCCAATATGACAACTTGATTTTTATGTTTGTTTTTTTAGCAATCTATATATCCAACTAGATATCACAAATAATGCGAATTAAGAAGAAACCTGCTTTAATAATGTTTTATTAAATAAAGTTTGTTCATGTAATATTACATGTGATTTGCAAGAACTGAAATATTTCAAATTCAATAATGGTATGGACGTGCTAAGTGTGTGTATGGAGAATTTTTTTTACTTATTTCTTTGTTACAGAATTGAAATTCACTCCAGGTATGTAGTTTTGATAAAGGTAAATATCATTTCCTCAAAAGTGATAAAAGTAGACATTTCCCCTTGCTAATAGCCCTTCATTTCGTGATCTCATAATGTCGATCCATCTGTTCGCTGGTAGCTTGTCTGGCGTCTCTTTCTGGCAGCTGGACGCCATGGCATCGCTGTTGGTGTCGCTGCCATGGCATCCTAGTGCGATACCGCCCTAATGAATTGGCAGACGCCGTTTCATAAATAAACATAAGATGTTTAGTAAATAATATAAGCCTACTGGATCACTTCTGAGAGTCATAACTTGGGCATAGGGAATAAAAATGTTCAGAAATAATTTATAAATAAGTGTATGAATGACGAACATAAGAGAATGAACTGCATCTAAAGAAACCAGCAACAGTATCATAAACCGCCTAAGGCAACAATGCAATATAATAGCAATAGTGATCTGGAAAATAATGTAACAAATCATGCATAACAGCCTGCTGACAGCAACAAGTAGCACGCATTCTTATTGTCAAGCGCATATATAATTACCACTCAACATTCAGCAACTGCCATTTTGCAAAATTTGCGTGGGAAACATTTATCCTACCTGTTACTTACCCTTGCACCACAATAATTATTCCGCTTCTGACAAAACAAGCATTTCAGAGTACACAGGCGGATTTTTGGCTCTTGTTCTGGCTATAATTAGGAGCAACAAATGTCATTATGTAATTTCTTCCTTCACAATTCTAGCACATCACAACGCACCCTTGCACTAACGCTGATCCACCAGGCAATGAATTGAACACTCGATAAAACACGTATCGACTTATGATTTGCCGCCTTTAATTTTATGGCGGCAACTGTGTTTGTAACGCTATATTGATGTGGTGGGAATGGGTCAAATGCTCCACATTTTAATTGAGAATTTTTGATGAACATTTCTAATATATATATTTCAGCTTAACATTACCTTTGAAATGAGGCCGCGGTGCAACAGACGAGAATCAATCGATCAAACTTGTATCGAGTTACGTATTGGCGCCTTTTATTTTATTTTCTCAAACCTGTTGTTATTGAATTTCTATTGAAGTATCCTGATAGAAACTTTGTATTATTTTGTAAAAAGCAATAATAACTATAAGTTTTCTATTAAAACGAAAATCAGAAGTTTAACCCTCCCCTATATGAAGACTTGCCTATCAGTGTAGCCAACTGAAATTCTGTCTTAAAAATAGAACTAAAATTACACCAAAGAGATGTAATTCTGAACATACGCAATTATTAAGACCGAAGTCTTATGTACCCTAATTATGCCCATGATAATTCCACAAGAAGCTTTTATCTCAAGCATGACTGAAGTGCATGATGGATGAAATGTCTTCATTTTACCGAACATGTCCACTGCATACAGTCAGCTCCCACCCCAGAATAAATTACCACTGTACCAATGTAGGCTGAATTTTTAAATGTTGATATTATTCAGCACTTATTAATTTTAGCAGCAATTATACTGAATGGTATCCAATGTCAAATCTTTGAAGCAATCATGAATTGTTTGATGCTATATGCCTTAGTACCAGTTACTTCTCAAATACACAATGAGTAAAATTTGATTCTTGGATGCAGCTGTGAAAGAATCATGCCCATATTAATTCAGTTCAGTTTGTCTACAATCATTAGGAAATAAATACTGAATGAGTTTCCTACTGTTTAGTACTGTTAAAATATTATTTATCCTTGTTGATGGTATTTATTCTGAAGATTGCTGTATTCTGGGTTATTGCGCCATGTAGTCTGGTAGATTTTCAGGTGGAATAAACATGATAATGGCTCTATGAAATTCTCAAATAAAATATTTAATAAAAATCAGTTCTTGTATATTAACAGATGGATAGAGCAATGTACACTACAGACTTCTTATACCAGAGGTTCCCGGCCATTCCAGCCTCAAAACTCTGGGAACACATTTTTTAAAAAATACTACCAATAGAGAAATTTCTTAATTAATTTTGACTTTTCAATCTATACCATTCATAACTTCCTGTACATATCTCATTAAGTACTGTACCACCAACAAATATCTCCACACATTATCAACCTTGACTCCACATGAAGATGAGCTGTCAACAGTTGACAGCACCCATTGGATGAAAGGATGAGTGGGAGCCAACAGAAGTCAGCAAGTTAAGATGAAGATAAAAATCCCTTTCAGGAACCAAGCCCAGCTCTCTGGTCCACAGCAAGTACCTATACTGACAGAACTATTCAAATTCAAATTCTGATTTTTGATCATGAAAATGTTTCCTGCAATATACCATCAATTTGGCAAAGTACAAGTCCCTAGACCAGCAGTTAGGTACCACTTTCTTCTTCTTCTATGGCTCTCCGGTCCGTATTCGGTCCATGGCCTCCTCAATTCTCCTCTTCCATTCGGTCCGTCTGTCCGAGGCTTTGATCGAGGTTTCGAAACATCTTCCTTTCTACGGTGCAAGGTTGTTAGCCTTGCGACCAATCCCCAACCTGGAGGACCAGGGTACCTGTCTTAGTCTGACCTCTCCCCCTCGACCAATCTGGCTAGGGAGGCCCTACCAGTAGCTATGCTACCGCCAGCATAGCTCTTGGGGTCACTGAGGTACTCAAGCCCCACCACCACGACAAGGTGCAGGTATCATTAGGTACCACTACTCTACATAAATGACAAGTACATGTACATAATTTTATTAATTTATTGTACTTTTATCTGGGTGGTGTACAGATTCATAAAGATTACAATGTCGTCAGAAGTGTGAGTTTCTCATTCAACTGGAGCTGGGTCTTCACGAGTTGCGACAATGTTATCACCATCAACAGATCCTGTAAGAAGACACTGGAATTAACATTTATTTTCATTTACGTGTAGGACAAACTTCTCAAGCTGCATTTTACAAATGGCGCGGCAAATTTCCGTGCACAATATTAGCCAACAAAATTATATGCTACCAGCTTATAACAGACAAGACTTAATTTCAAATTAACACATTCGCATAATGAGAAGGAGAAATTTAGGACACTGCTTTTAGTGTGACCAGGTTTAATTTACTTTATTTTTTGGTATATATATACATGGCTGATATGTATCAAAACCTCACAAATTATGATTCATGGAAAACAAAAAATTAAGAACAAAGGATAAGAATATCATAACAGACAAAAATTACTTCACCATTCTGAGAAAAATGGTGGCTGGAGAAGGAAATCCCTTAACACACAAAAATCAGATATTATGCTTTCAAATTCTAAGCATAATGCAAGATGAACAAAATCTGCCACATAGATTCCATGTCACGTTGGTTTAAAGAATAAATATCACAATACTGTAGGGCAGTGGTCCCCAATGCGGTGCCCGCGGGTGAAATGGCGCCCGCCAAGGCTTTTCTTGGGTGCCCGCGTCATTACGGAAAGAGGTTATACTGAATAATGAAGGCTGTTCAAACACGAACATTATAAAATCAAAGCGCAGATCTCGAGTTACTGACGCCCATCTTGACGATTGTTTGCGAGCAGCATCCTACAGTCCCAAATTTGAAAAACTGGCCGATGAAATGCAGTGCCAAACATCACACGAACTTCCCACTTGAGTAATAATAATTGTACTTATAAAACTACGTATTTTTGATTGCGTGATTTCTTGTATCATTAACCGTCGTGTTGTTTTGTGTATTATTTGGTGTCCATATCTTATTTGTCCAGAGAAAAGAAAATTTGGCTTTGTTAAATGGTTGGTGCCTGCCTCAATCTCATAAACTCTCAAATGTGCCCGTAGGCACAAAAAGGTTGGGGACCACTGCTGTAGCACAATGGAAGGCTGGTGGATGTAGGAAGCAACCAGACATAACGATGTTCAAAAATTAATACAACTTTTAATAAATAAGCATCAATCCACATTTATAAAGCAGCTTTTTAACCCACCTTAATATTAGAGTTGAACATATTTTCAAACTCTTCTGGTGTCATCTTGGGAACACTATTGACCATATCGAGGAGTGCTCTTCCCACAGCATTATCGGGCTGGGTCCGGCCCGCCAGTACATCCTCCACATATGCCAGTACACTATCCAATAGGCTGGTAAGTTTCTGGGATGCTTCAGCTACCTGAGCAAGGTCAAGCATGGGCTCTACAGTCTTCTTACTGAGTGTCACTGTTTTCTGACAGAGTTGTACTGCAACACACATATCAACATGGTAAATCATATTACAGTCGCCCTCGGTGGACTAGTGGTTAGCGTGCTCGCCATTGGACCCAAGGTTCGTGGGTTCAAACCCGGCCAAGTTCAATGGATTTTTAAGGGTGATAAAAATCTGTGGCACAACTTCCTTTGGAGGGGAAGTAAAGCCAGCGGTCCCATGTCGCAGATTTACGGCATGTAAAAGAACCTCACGAGCATGAACGAGATGTTTCGTAAGCAAAATTCAGTGGCCATTTCTCGCCCAAGTCTGTCCTGATTAACTACTAGATGGTTCTAGTAGTAAAATCAGGATTGAGTAGAAATTGTGCAGAGGCAGTGAGCTTGTCATTCATTACTCACAAATGCACACTTCAAAGAATAGGAAACCTCTAAAAAAGAGGCAGCGAAACCCCACAACCGGGTTGTACAGCCAAGAAACAAAAAAAAATCCTATTATAAGCAGACAGGATATATAGAAAGTGTTCCTACACATTTACAACAGTAAAATCACCACTGATACCAAAGTACTGTGTATCATCCTGTTATTAACACACTCTACTTTGAAGATGGCTGTCTTCTGGGTTGTTGCACTGTGTAGTCTGGTGGAAGTTTACTAACGTTTCAGAGGTCCTCGATGCCTCCGTCATCAGACTCACCGCCATGAAAACCTCAAATACTACATACTCTACTTTCTTAACACTATATCAAGGTACTCATTCACCAAAAAGTAAGTGTGTAATTATCATGGCAACATCAGGTAAATTGTGCAACATCATACCTCCCACAACCTCTGGTTCATAGCATGTAATTTCCACATTAACAGGTGTGAACATACAGCCAGACTTGCCTCCAGGAACACCAATTGGAACACTGAAATATATAATAATAGTATTAAGAAATATTTCAAAGCTCAGGCCAGTACAAAATTAAACAGACTGATATATCCCCATTAAACTCCACCACATATGACTTTAAAATCCTTTGTCATAACCTGATCTTCACTTACACTTCTGCATGAACTGAAGGATGAATAATTCCCTTCCAAACATCTTACAATCCTCACACACAACACTGGTTATTATTCTGTTGTCACATCATAACAATACACTTGTAACTTGCATAAATGGTGTATTATAGTTTGGTTGTTTCACATGTCAGAACTCAAGAATTTATTCCACAATTTCTGCAATCTTTATGCTATTCACATTATTAGTATTTTATGTTTATTACCCGTATTTTGTTAGGATTGTTTGTATAACCTTACAGAAGACTAAAATTCTGTGACAGGTTACAATGATTTTTTTTAAGTCAACCACAAATAAACCAAACTAAAATTATTACACTGTTTTACTATACTTTTTACACTAATTCTGCACCCAGTTTCTTTATCATCTATCAATTATTAACTCCAATCCAAATCCTTTATTATAATACCACTGCCCTCTGAATACAACTGGTTTACCTTACTACAAAGAAAAGCCTAATATGTCACTACTTACTTTACATAAGCTCTTATGCCCATGCGGGTGCCTTGTAGTGTTGTATCTAGAGTCAGATGGATTGGGTTGTTACACTCCCGAGCATAATATTCATGAATAACAGATGAATGGCTTGTAACTTCATTACCCGTAGCCCACCAACCAACAATTGCCTCTTGGGTATTTACTCTCCGATTCAGATCATATAAATCCATTGCATAATTCAACTCAGCTTCCACCTAACACCATACAACAAAACTGTATAAATATTAAAGAACAATGCAGCACATACTGCCACAGATCCCAGAGAAATCAAACAGTCACAGGTCAAACACCTTGGCAAAAACACCTTAAGAACTCACCTGATCTTCATACTCCTTATGTGGTACACAGAAGCAGTTCGTGACGTCAACTACCCCTTTATCAACTGTGCCTACAAAAAAATAAGCATGTACCTTTATTAAATGATTACACCTGCCACATGCACTAATATATGTTCCTGTAATATTTTGACGTAAATACGTCTATATGGAAGGGTCAGTGTCATTCAGCAAAAAAGTGTTACGAAAAAGCGACAGGAAAATGTGTAAGATGGTTACCTAGGAAACGTCATCTGTTTATTCTAATTGTTACGTCATCTGTTTATGGCATTGTTGTGTTACATTACTTTCGTTGTTGCAGCAAGAGCTGAGCTGTGAATCGTTTGTAGAAGTGCGTCGTGAACTACGTAATTTTGTGCTGGTAAAAACGTTTTACAATATCACAAGTACTTATCTTATATAATAATTATTAAGAAATCTATTGTTGCGTCATACTATGTACAAAATGGATGACATTGAAGCTAAAAGAGTCCATAACGCAGAATATATGAGACAGTACTGAAAACGTAAAAAAATAGAAATACCTAGAAAATGTTATGTTACGTTACATTACATAACATTTCATTACATTACATTACTTTACATTCATCTACCACAGACCCATCTTAAGCGTAACTAATTCAAGTTAAATAAGCAATGTCTTAATCAAACTTTACGCAATTGTAAAGCATGTATAAAGGAAATATTTAGAATAAAGCCAATATATAAACTTCCTTTCCGTATAGATGTATTTACTTCAAATTCTCCGGAACCATGGTTCCACTGTCACTTTTTTCACTGAAATATTTTCCAGTATATGGGCCGAAGCTGACAATAATTTTTCTGAATATGAATACTTACCTAATAATGTGCCAATAACTCGATGAGCGTCTGCATTTCTTCTTTCATAAGCATCAACAATTTGAAACAAAACTACGGGATGTACTTTTACTGTAGTACTCAGTGCCATGTTGAACGCACATATGGTAACAATAGGAATGATTAGACAAGGAACAGCATGAACGTTGGACCCTTGTCAACATTAACAAACTACATATCCCTTTAACCGTTACATACATCGAAGAATAAAACTAAAACTTCATAAATGACACGATTCTTAATTTATAGGTTATAATAAATTAGATTATAAATAGCTTCTTGATGGATTAAGAGTTACATTCCAGCTTTCAGGTAGAATGTTAAATCAATGTAGGGACTTTTCTGATGTACATGAGAATATTTTTACGTAGGTTGAAATTTTGTATTGGTGACCCTGATACAAAGATGGTTCCCGTTCCGTCCGCTATGTCCTCCACGGTTGGATTCTATAATATCTGCATTGCAGACCTGGGATACCAAACGTGGAGGGCGTTGAAATTAGACAAAACTTAAAAACTACACCTTTAAGGTCGGTACAAATATGAATAATTAGATTCCACTCTGAGTTGAAATCTGTCCCACTACCTTATCAGTCTGAATCTGCACTGAAACATAGTATTCGTCTTCTTTAGCCTTAGAAATGTAAATAATTTAGTCTCTTAATTAGCCAGACTTCAAAGGACCGATTTTTTTTAGCGAAGTTCACTTTCTGCATGAATAACCACCAAAAGAAGAGTGGTTTAGACTGAATAATGTTTCCAACCATTACCGTTTATAGTGTTCCCTGTGTTCACTTTGTAGTTATTCAAAAGCACCTGAATTCACACAACTTTTTAGATATATGGTTTGTAGGTTAAATTATTACTCGATTAGTGTTATACTTTGGGCACAAATGTGTGTAAAATTAGAATAAAAGTTGTGACAGTTAAGAATATAGTATTGCTTATTGTGTGCAGACTCACAAATGGAACTGGAATATTCAACTATGTCCTCTGAGGGATCTTCAGTTGAATCTGAGTTGTCACAGGATTCAACCCGTTTAGAAGAATTCCACATAGAAGGTGTACGCTTGCAACTACCACAAGGCTTGTGTGAAAATAAACATATTTTTAAGGAATTCTTTTCCAGTCAGACTTGGCATGAATGTTTTACAGAACAACAGAAACAGCACCTAAAGGTACATAGAAGAGACAATGTTAATAACAAATATTTTATTTATAATAGTAATTAAGGCTGTAATATTGATTTTATAGAAATGGACAACATATACCATTTATACTCCAAAATGTATCCTTTGTGACAGTTAATTTGTCTTTGTAACAGTTGTGTGCAGTATTTCGTTCACTCCACTTTACACAGCTGATCTTCTTAAACTGAGTGACTATTTTTCAATAATCCCTTTTTGCATCTACTGTGCTACTGCCCAGTACAAACGGCTCTCTAATTAGGGTCACATTTCATCATGCCAAGATGTTGTATATATTTCTGTTACACATCATTGTCATGTTTGTACAGAGCTTTCTACCAACATTCCCAGACAATGATGCCGACGAGAAAGAAGAAACATTGCGACGGCTGTTTGCTCGAGAGAACATGAGGTTTGGATCTCCTCTGTCTGATTTCCAAGTACAACTTAAGAATGGGTATTACAGACCAGACATAGCCAAGATGCGCTCATTAATGAGGAAAGCACAGTTTCGAGAATACAAGTAAGTGATATTCTCAGCATCCTCCAACTGAAAGTTTTAGTTTGATTTAAATACAGAGTGAATGTTCACTGCATTTAAAGTTTTTATGTTATGCAGTCCTACACAAATATCATTCTCTTATATTGGACTATGTATCCATACTGTGCATTCAAAACACTGCGGTTATGGAATCCACTAAAAAACGTAGATTATGTACTAGCCTAAACAAAAAAGAACTTATCTCATGTATGTTCCTTAAAATGTTTCAGTTAATTTGGTGAAATTAGCCAGCACTTTCAGTTATATTATCTAGCATTTCACTTCGGTACATAATTTAAAGTAAGGATTTTGACATTAATTTTGTCATATGGGCCAAAACTCACATTTTCACACTGTTGCCATTTTGCAACAACCATTACACTTGTACTTGTAAATGTTTTTCTTAATGTTGTAGTACAATTGGATGTTCTTTCTTCATTCACAGGTACCAACATCGGCGATATTACTTTCGGCTGGTGAAGGCAATCCTGCTATCACGCCAACAGCTGCTAGAGACAGCGTTCAACCAACCCCCAGGAGTTTATCCAAAAATAGAACGCATCCCTCACCACCCACCACCTCGCATATCCCCAGCAGAGCAAAGGACCAGGCGTCGATATTTCCAAGAACTAGCGGCAGTTCGACAGGAAGTAGGAGAGAGTGATCACAGCTCAGAGGATGACAATTACCCTGGTATGAGATGCTAGTAAATATTTGTTCCATCTTTGTTTCAACGTTCATGGTCACTTGCAAGCATTTCAGAACTGTCAGTAAAAACTAATAATATAAAATTGTTTGTCTCTATTTGATTGTGTGCATATCAGAAGATGTGTTGTAAATGAAAATGTCTATGTTGTAATCATTTCATTAATGGCATAATATGAACATTGTCGTTTTGGCCATTTTATGCTAGGGACTGGTTATATACATGTGGGAGTCTCTTTAACAATTTTCTGCGACCAGGCAACCGTTACATCAACTTTTATCTCACGAACGAATAACTCGTGGTGGTGTGCACTGCCTAGTGCCATTCTGTTTTGCATCAGTTTAATTCTTGTGAGGATGTTTTATATTTGAATAGTATCATAATATTTATATGTACCAGTGAGTGAATGTTGTTAATGCTTATTGAATTATGTCATTTTCTTCTTTGATTAGAGAGTCATCTAACATTTCTTTCTCCTTTATGTCAGAAGTGAACATAATAATGAATTACTTATTTGAAACTTGCTCAACACTCAAGATACAAACATTTGAAATAAACTCTCAGTATATTTTGATTTTAAAATTATAACTTGTTTTCCAGATTTTGTAACATTAGCATGTGTATTTCCTGTATATAAAATATCTAGTCTGAACTGTTACATCACATTTAATATGTTGGCTGTTGTCTTATTTACAGAAGGACCACCTCCAAAACTGAGTAAGAAGCAGAAACGACAATTGGCAGCATTGGAATGTTCTCTTAGTCCAGACATGCCTCAAGTTATATCAACTGTAGCCCTCAAACCATCAGGATTTGATCTGGAATCAAACGTTACATCAAGTCATAACCCTTACGAATTGAACGAGGAGTCGTACAAAGCTCTTTTGTTAAATCACAAGAGAAGACGATTGGAGGGAGATGTATGTTTCACTTTTTTGTCTGTAAAGTTAGTAGAATGGAATATAGTCCAGAAATACGCACACAGGCACAAGCAAGTTAATGGGTACCAGTGGGAAGTGCATTTTTATCTGCAATTGACTTAAGTGACTAGCAAATTTAATGAGTATATCTGGAGCCTTGGTTGTTAATAGACTGTGTTCTTCTTGAAGGACCATCCTGAGCTCAATATACTGGGTATCACAACACAGGACATTGCTGTGCGCGCTCAACTTGGGAAACGATTACCACTGAACCGGACAAACCACAATGTAGGAAGCGAAACAAAAACTCCAACAAAAAAGAAAAAAGGAGAAACAAACAGCAATAAAGGAACGCCCACCACAGTAGCTGGTCACGTCTCTCAGATGAGATATAGCCTCAACAGTCCTCAGGTAGAATGTAGCTCGTTGCTTCTTTATTACTTCGGATTATAGATTGTGAATTTTGTGTATTAAGGATGTATATGGAGCATGCGTAAACACAGACAAGGATCAAGGACAGGCAAGTGATATGCACATGTCAGTCCACTCAGTTCTTTCACTTAAGTACACTTCAAAGCATCTAATATCGATTTTGATTATTGTTCTAGTGCAGGAACATGGCACGATCGGCTGTGCATGGAAACGGAGGGATGTCACGCGATACTGGAATATATGCTCAGCTTAGCATTTTTTATAATGCAAAAATTTATTGATTATTCATAAAATGAGTTAGCATGGTGTGTGTCAGTGATGTTTACTTTCGGCCTTCAAAATGTGCATTAATATTCTTATCAGAAATATATTTTATTATAATGCGTGAATAGTATGAGGAGAGTGTAGAGTGACGCAGGTAGGACATTTCTGATGTATTTGTAGGGAGTTGGTGGATGCAGCTCAAATGGATCTGACCTTGGTGATTCTGAAGATGAGGATGCAATGTTGGATCAGTTGTTGTTGGATGATATGGAACGGGTGGATGTGGAAGGAGAGATCGAAAATTCATTGGTTGCCAGCAAAGCAACACCTCCCCACACCAGAACACCAGTAGCTGCCGCTCGGAACAGACGCACAAACAGCTCTGGGTGAGACAGAACAGTCAGCCTTTGTGCTACATGGTGATGAATCATATGCAATACAAGATACAAATTAGACAACCGGGGTTTGATCCCCGATGGGGGCAGAGGATTTTTCCTCTAGCCTCTGTGTCCAGACCAGTTCTGGGGCCCACCCAGCCTCCTATCCAGTGGGTACCTGGGTCCTTTCCAGGGGGTAAAGCATGGCCGGGGCGTGATGCCGACCACTCACACCCTTCTAGTGCCGAGGTCAAGAATGAATAGGAGCTATACCAACTCTCCCCCTAAGTGCCTACATGGTGTATAGTAAGACAGCTTTGCTTTTGCTTTACATATTGAATAGGGGTTTAAACCCTCCATATGACATGGCTTAGAGATTTAGTAGTATGCTGCCGAGATGCACAGTCGGCTGAACCACACATAAGCCACGATGCATGGCCAATAAAGGTTAAAATTTGACATGTTGGTTTTCAGCTCCTCTCCTCGAGCCAATAGAGTGAATACAAGTAGTGGTGGTGGCAGGAGTCTACTGCAGCGGCGGATTAAGGCTGAATCAGAGGAGGCTGTTAGTGATATGTTCCCTACCTCATGCACCTCTAGTGAGACCACCTTCACAGTGCCAAATAGTGGACAACAGTTCCAGCAACTTTCTAATAATATCACCATGTCCAAGACTACCAATCCAACATACTCAGGCAGGCACATCACTGCAGCTACCCTGTCTGACCTCGATGGTATCGACATGATGAATCTACCAGTAGATCTGGACGAATCACCAAATGACCCCATGGATATAAATCTCGATGATATGAAGTTAGTAACCTATCTGCATAAGATGGGATTATAATGTAGTCTGTTCTCTCAGAAAAAAAAAATTAAATTGTTTTGAGTGTTACTTCTGGTTTTAGAAGATAACTGACAAATTCTCTACCCTTTGCCATCTTACAGCCCACAGGAATAAAATATTTTCAAAGTAGATAGATTAAATTCCATATCTCTGTAAATAATAGTGGGTGCTTATAATGACTTTTGTGAATTTTGTAAACATGCCAACTGTTTGATTTTCAAACCTGTGCAATGAGAGGAGAGGGCAGATTGAATTTTTTCTTCTTCTTCTTCCATTTCTTGACTGTTACTTCAGTCTTCCAGTGCCTAATATTTTCTTCCATTCTTCTCTATTTTCCCATCCTTTCGGAGGTAGTTTCCACTCTGTCATGATTCTTATGATTCTGTTGCGGTGGGCTACCTCACCCATCGGAAAAAACCACAATGCTAAAAAAGCCTAATAAAAATAAGCCTCGGTATTGAATTTTTTGAAGAAGAAAAAAAATACACAACAAAAACTCCATTGTGACTGATTATCTATGAACGATTTGTATTCATTATTTCCGTTATGTCCTTTTTTATACAGACCAGCACCTGAGCTGATGCAGGAGACACATGCTTGTTTTTTCTCACTGATACGAGATGTGATCTGCTCTACGCCAGACCACCGCATGAGTCTTGTGACACTGGAGGACAGGCTGAAAGCCTGGCAAGAGAATCCCATCTCTCCCCTCAATGACTGGTACTGCATAGCGGCCGACTCTTGGCTCCTTATGCTGCCATCTGCAATCAGCTTCCTGTCAGGGGACTTCCCAGGTATGTGTCTTGCACATGTTGGTAAAGACAGTTTATGGATAATTTATTATATATATTATGTACAGAGGGAGCACAGAATTGATTACTAGTCTTAAAAAGTGATTACATCATTCACAGAGTATTTGTGCTGTTCACTGCTGTCAACTAAGAACAGGCTTATCTAGAGTTAAGAACCTTGACAGAGGTGAAAAAAATATAATCTGAATACAGAAGCAGCAGAAATGAAACTTAAGAAATATAATAAAGGGATTCTAATTGTTATCTAGCAGTCAGAGTTAGGCTACTCGTTGTTCTGTTCTAGCCTCAATTGTCCAGATGTCTATTTAAATGCCATCCTTGGTTACTTAATCTACATGGTCTGTAATTTTTAAGTCTGCGTCTTTACAGTCTGTCAATATGTTGAGTCCAATTGGTTCTCTATTAATAATTTTGTTCAATATAGGTTCTGCTTTTAGGTTTTTAATGTTTCTTTATTTCTTTTATATAGGCTATAAAAAGACTATAAAGGTATCAAAGCATGTTATATGGCATTCCATCGCTTTGTCTTCATTTAAAACTTTTAATTATATCATGCACTGACTTAACATAGCAATACTACTTACATAGAACTTGTGGTATTTTTCTCTGTGATTGTAGATGCACAGCCAGAAGACTTTGTTCCTTATGTCGAGTACAAACGCAACTTACAAGCATTTCAGTGGATAGGAGCAGGTCGGGACTTAGATTCTCATCTCCAGCCGTTGTGCCAGCACTGGCTGGATCATCGTGATGAGATGACGGCTCGGCCAGTCAAGGAAGAAGAGGTGGAGGAGGAGACAGGAGATGGCATTGGAGAGGAGAGGGCATCCTCTCCTCCACCTCCTCGCTGCCCCACCTCCTGGGTTGTACATCCCAGCACTCCTGAGGAAAAGGAGTGTTTTAGGGAACAGGTATACTGCCAACACAGTGTCTATTGTACTTTTATAAAATCAGTGTTTAAGGCTTCATTCTTACTGATGATGTAGTTAGCGCTCTCTCTCTCTCTCTTTTAAGTCAACTTTGGATATTTGCTAGAAAAACTGCTCTCTCCCTTCATCACAAACATAGATGCCAACATAGACTGAAGCCTAAAGAAATCAGATAACCATTAACATAATTGATAAATAATATTATATACTGATGTGATAATTTAAACTTATTACAAAATAAGTGATTGTAAAAAAATTGATCTTTTGGCAGGAGAGGCACCGATATGAGAATCCACATCGAGCATTCACGTTTCGAATGCACAACTATGAGTCAGTTGTTGGACCTGTAAAAGGAGTATATAATCAGAGCATAGGCGTAAACAAACCACGAGGCCACTCTCTTCTGGTAGCTGAGCGTCCCAATTTTGTCACAATTCTGGCGCTTGGTGAGTTATAACTTACATTTGTTATTACTCCAGTCATATTTTTTGTGAACTGGAACAGCTCAATCAGTAAGTGTCTGAAGGCTGGGTAATGGAGGTTCAGTTCTGAGCAGGCAAGGATTTTATTCTCTTTGCCACCACATTCAGACTTGTTCTGGTATGCACTCACCTCCTTTCACATGTCTACTGAGGGTTCTTTCTCCAGGAAAAAGCATCTGGAGCTTGAAGCTGAACATTCTTCATTGAAATCTTATTTGTACAGTGTTTCATAAAAATTAGATACATGAAAAGTTAAAAAATAACTTTTTGTTTTGTTTTCTGTTACCCTAGTGTAGAGCCTGCCCAATTTTTGGAGAAATTTATTTACTTTTCCGGACACGTGAAGTTGACTGTTATATCTTCCATGTTGGAACATTTTCATAAATCAGTGAAATCACACATACAAATATATATCATGAAATGTTGGGAAAAAGTATATTTCACGGGATGAAATACTGCTTTATACAAACTGCTCATGTATGGCCATTTTCTTACAGTAAGAGATGCCACAGCAAGGTTACCAAATGGTGAGGGAACACGTACAGACATTTGTGAGCTACTTAAAGATTCTCAGTATCTTGCCCCAGTATCACAGGAAAGCTACCTTCATTCTGTAGTAAGTGGAGCGCTGGATCGCCTGCACTACGAGACAGATCCATGTGTCAAATATGACACCAAGCGAAAAATCTGGATCTATCTTCACCGGGGGCGCACTGAGGAGGAATTTGGTAAGTGATTTGCTTACAGAGCTGTAATGAACTTTCCACACATTCAAACTTTCTTGGTCAGGAACTGTGAAGTAGGAAGGTCCCTAACATTTTGGAGAAAACCATGTAATATTATCTTCTTGTTATAGAACGTCTTCACCAACAGCAGCAAGGCATGGCAAAGACAAAGAAATCCTCGAGCCAACGCAAGGCCAGTCGAAGCAAGCAGCAGAAAGAGGGTGTAGCCACTGTTAAGGAGGCTGCAGCTAGCGTTGCCACTACAGTCTCGCAGATCAAAGTAGACTTGCCTGCCACACCCACCACACCATCAACAATATCCACGCACACCTCTCTCCCCACACTTCCAACTCCACAAATTCAAACGAGCCTTCCTGTTGTTACCCCAGTCTCAGCTACAACTGTGCCTGTGGTTGCAGCATCTGTGAAGCCTGTCACAACAAGGGCCCCTCGCACTCCTGTTATGCCAAGGACATTTACCCTTGCACCAGGACAGGCTGTTCAGAATCTCCAAGTGTCCACATCATCTGGACTCCAAACAATACAAGTAAGTAAAACTTGAGTTTGAACCATAATTGAAACCTTAACAGTTGATAATACATCTGAGCCGACTACATTCGGCTCTGATGTTGTGACGGCGAAGCTTCGAAAGGAGTGCGCATGCATGTGGGGAGGTTAGGCCGGTTTAGGAGGGGGACTGATTTGGGCTGAACTCTTCTCGCCAGCACACGGACGCTCACTCAGGCTGTAGCTATGAATCCGGTTGGCAACGTTCTCTCCGGCTGGGCACCCCGTTCGAGGCAACCTTGGTTTGTATTTGTTTTCACGTGGTTGCCTGTCCAGATAGGTATTGATTTTGTTGTGTTGGTGGACAGGGCAACCACCATGTTTTTGGGTTATTCTTGGTCCCTCGGGGTGGTCAAAGCTGGGGAGATGAATTGGAGTGTTGCCGAGAGTGAGCCGAGTCGTGAGGCTTTTGGTTTGTTCTTATATGTTTTGTTTGTAGAAGGATAATCAATGACCCCGTGTAAACTCTTACCATCGACATATTGCCATGTTTTTTGTATGTTTCAAACAACCTTCTGATGGGAACTTCTGCAGAGTGTAGGTGCCAAACAGCATCACAACAGTTCAGACTAAGAGAAGCCAGTAACAATGATGTTTTCTCTCTTAACACCAGTGCAACTCACACTGTTATATAGACATTGAAAAACATAACCTGGGTTGTTCACGCATGCCTATCTTAATGTTACAAGTGCTGTTTTTATGGCTGGGAGAACAGACATGCCGACTATTCCGCTTTTACCTGAGGGTTTGTACATGTTTCAGAACCTTCAAACTAAATCACTAGCTAGTCATATGGAAACGTGGTTGAAAGAGAGTACACGAATTACTTCTACAGAATAATTATTAGAATAAGACAAGATTTTAGCAATTTTTTTTTTCAAACTGTATCAATGTGCAGTGTTCCACAGTGTTATTCTGCCACTGGACAATGAAGCTCAGTTACTAGCCTGAGATGTTCATATTTCTCTATAATTTTAACAGACTTGAAGCAAGACTTAATGAATTTGGAAGGCTGTAAAAGGTCTTTTTCCTAGAAAGATCAAGGAAACCCTCAGTCTGGATAGAGGGTGTCTTCGCTAAGATTTTAATCCCAGGACTTCCCAAATATGAAGCAGTAGTGAGAAGAATGTGATGATATTGGTTGTATGCATTTGTAGTTTGATGCTTAAGTATGAGAGTTACTTTATCATACTTTACTTAAATGGAAAAAATTAAATAATATGTAGTAGAATAAGTTCTCTATCTGCCGCAGGTGACAACATCACCAACTATACTGACTGGAGGAGTGGCTGCTGGGAAGTCTCTTCTCACAGCTCCTGTTAGCCAGCAACAACAGCTGACTGCAGCTTCAATAGTGAAGACCGTTGCAATGACACCGCAGCCTACAAATCAGTTGTCCGCTACCACTGCCACGCCCATATTGAAAACTGTAACTCTGACTCCTCAACAAATGCAGGCAATGAATGCCGCCAGAGGATTCGCAGGTGTCACTAGTAATGTGAACCCCACAGCAGCATTGAAGATGGTAAGCCTCTTTGGTTAGGATTCTGGGTAAGGGCTGAGGATTAGGGCTATTAGGTTAGATTTGGTAAGTGCTGCACTAAACCTTTGTTGCTAATGGCGTACAGAAGATATGTGATCACCGTACTGTGTGTTATAAGTTAATTAGGAATGCGGAGATTACAGCACTAAATGATTACAATTAGCGATATTATTCGGACAGTTGCTCTGTAACAGGTGAGATTTCAGGTTCTCACGGCGATAAGTATGGAGATGGCTGTCTTCTGGGATGTTATGCTGTAAATCTGGCAGGATTTGACTGATGTTTCAGAGATGCTTACTGCCCTCATCATCAGGGCCAATAGGAACATCTGAAATGGTGCAAAATTCAGAAGACAGCCATCTTTTTTACACAAGCACCTTAACTGTTGAAAAGACTATTTCCTGTTGTGTTAGTAAATCTATTAATCACGTTGAAACATGGTAATGCCTCCTCAGTATTAGTGTAGTTTTCTATAAAGTAGAAGTACATTTGGTGCTCAGTGAAGGTTTCTATTTCCTGTAGCCAACCTCGTCATTGGTTGCAAACATAACTTCTTCTTCGCCCTCATCACGAGTTGTAACCTCAATGACTGTAGCCACAGCTGCTGTGGCTACAGTCGTTACATCGACGCCATCTTATACTGTTCGGCAGCAGAAGGCACCCGTTATCAGCCGACCCACTGCTCAGCCATCTATCTCCAGTTCTAAAGCTCTGGTGAATGCCACATCAGCTCAGTTGGTGAATGTAACACAGGTAAGTTAAAATTTAATTATGTTTTAGGACCCTTCTGTCTTTCTGAGATATACTGTAAATTGTGATATAAATCCGGTGATTTGTTGGACTCTTTTGTATGGAGTTAGGTATGTTTTGCACTCAGCTTCTGGTTCGTTTGATTAATTGGCATTTAGGTGCAGTCAGTTGGTTCTCCCAAGCCAGTGTTAACAGCTGGAGGAAAAACTCTTGTCACCACAAATCTGTCAGGTGTGAAGCTGGTGAATGCTGTGAAGGCGATTGCAACACCAGATGGATCTCAACAGCAGACTATTTTCATTAAACAGCAGCATCAACCAGAACAACAGCAACAACAGACAATAATTGGGACAATCCAGCAGCAGCCACAGTTGCTACAGCAACATGCAAATAAGGTTTGCTGCACTTATGGTGGATATTACATACAGTGTATAGGGAAATGCAGTTAGTAATATTTTCATGTATGTAGAGGGGCATTTAATCAGAGATGATTGGATTAAAATATGGCCATTAACAGTTGCTTGGATGGACTGTCAGGTAGCCAATTTATAGTTTAATAGAATTAAAGATCAAAATTGAATGAATTTGGAAAAATGGCATTGGGTTATAATGTTGTGTTACAGCAAGCTGCAGCAATTGCACAGCTCCAACAACTGAAACAGCAGCTTCAACAACGACAGAAACAGCAGCAGCAACGACAACAACAGAAACAGCAGCAGCAACAACAGAAACAGCAGCAACAACAACAACAAACTGTAAATGTTGGGGCCACGACTGCAACTCCCACACCTCAGCGTGTCGTCACCACCATGTCCATCCTCGGTCAAGGACAGGCCCAGCCTCGCGTCATGGCCAGAGGTAAGCAGAGCCATTGTCTATCAGTGTATATACTGAGATTGGTCATCTTGTGATGGGAGGGTCAACATCTGAAGCAGTTTGAGGTAACGCAAGAATACGGTTTCTATTAACGCTGTTATGGTTTGTACATGAGCACAATCGGTGTATCTTAAATTTCACCAGGTAACAGTTTATGAGATTTGGGGTTCTCGTGGCGGTGAAGATGTCCATTTTGGTCTTTGGGTTGACACCATCTGGACTTGTGGGTAGATACTGTCTCCATCTTAAAAGCTGAAGGTAGTTTGCAGTGTCATGACCCAGAAGACCACCGACATTAACAAGGATAACATTGGTTAATTCTTAACCTTAACAACAATCAGCACCAGTAATCGGTAATTTGTATTACTGACGATCATCTACTTGACCTCTTGCAGTTATTAGTTGTGTGCTAGTATCTGGCTGTAATGTGAGCTGAGATTAATGTATTGGGTTGAACAGAAAGTTTTTGTGTTTTCTAACCCAGCAGAACCATAAATTCAGAAGGTTACTGTTGACAATTGAATGGAGTAAACAAATGCCTTCAAGAAAAAAGGTCCACATCTCGTCAACAGAAAAGGAGTTGTCTTTCACCAGGACAATGCCCATCCACATGTCAGTTCAATGACACAGCAAAAAATAAAGGAACCTAATTGGGAAATTTTGGACCACCTGCTATATTTACCAGACTTGGCACCATTCAATTATCATTTATTCAGATCATTGCAAGACCATTTAAATAACAAGAAATTATAAAGATTCAGAGAGGTCAACAGTGGTATCGTATAGCGTATTTTGAATCAAAACTGAGAAGTTTTTACAAGGCCAGAATTAAAACGCTCGTGACATGTTGGGAGACGGTAATAGTGAGCAATTGAAATTATATAGTTGATTAAATATTGTAAATACATTTTGCAAAAATGCAAAATCTTTCCATTCAACCCAATATAAGCCCCAGAATTTTATCAGTTATGTGTATATGGCTGGATACCCTTGTTTTAAAAAAGTTTAATACAAAATTATTTCATTGTGCATATTTCACAAGGTTTTCCATTTAAGTTGCAATATACCGAGACTTTTCTATCATTTTGCTGCAGTTGGTGGAAAACCGATTCCCGTGTCGCACGTGACATTACCGACGCAACTGCAGCAGCAAGGTGCAGCAAGTGTGACAAGTGCTCAGCCTGTATCAGGTGTTGCCACCGTAGTGAAACAGCAGCAGCAGCAGCCTATGGTGGCTAAAGTGTTAACAAGTGCTCAGGGGCAGGTTATCTCCATGGAGAGCTTGTTGGCTCATCAGAAACAGCATGGCACATTGCCACAAGGTGCACAAAACTATATAGTAACGAGTTTTAAGGGGTGCATCCCGTTGCGTGTTGATAGGTTGACAATCTGTCTACACAATTGTTTATTACAGTATCCTTGTTTATTAGGATCCACTACATTTTTCAATGTTAATTGGTCATATTCAGGTGGTTCTCTTAAAGTGCTTGAAACTTAATAGATATTATCGCTAAATCGTATACATATTTGAAATAAGTGACATTCACATACATTACTATAAGTAGGAGTGCAATAAAACAGCAATCAATAAAGAACCTATAATGATGTTATGTCACTCATATAGTTCCAGCTTCTGCTCATTGATTACACAGCAACAACAAATTCAAAAAAGTGCAACAAGAAAGCTTCATTATGCATCCAAGAATAGTATCTTAAAGGGCTTTTAACTCATAGACAACTTGAACATTCTGATATTTTAATTAGAATTATGAAATAGCCATACAAGTTATAATCTTCTCCCTTCCATTTTAGCGTATGCGTTTAAACCCAATAAAAAAATATGTTTCTATTCTAGGTGAAGATTCCTATGCTCTCAGGTAAAAATAATTGTAAAGGTATCATGCAGATCCATTTGAATGTTGTTTCAAATATCTATACAATTTAGCAGTCATATCTCTTAGCTTCAAACACTTTAAGAGAACAACCTGAAGATGACCAGTTAAGGTCAAAACATGTAGTGGCCCTTAATAAATATTGATGTTATAATCAAAAATTGTTGTGTAGATGGACTGTCAACCTAACCACACAGTAGCATTATACATTTTGCATATCTGCTGTCTCAGTAAGTTATTTCCCTTTTTGCGATACAGTCATTACAGTGTTGTTATCTCCTCAGGCACAGCTTTGCGTGTGACAACTGGAGGAAAACCTGGACAAACAAGCCTGATTCAGATCCCCAGTAGCACACAGTTTGCAGTCATGTCCCAAGGAAACTTGTTGTCTGTGGGGCAGCCCCGGGTACTGCAGACCCAACTCACCAATCAGCAGGTACATGAATGTTTTATGCTTGCATTTTGTAACTTGTAATAGCTACTATGTTGGACATTTAGTTTTATTCAATATGAGGAAATTCAAAAAAATAAAAGGGAATTAAAACTACTGAAAATTTTATAGCTGTATGTTGCTACTTTTAATAGCTAGAATATTTAATCCTCTCTCCATTAGACAAAACTGGTTTGCAAAATATACAGATTGTGGTAACATAAATTCTGAAAGGTAACAAACATTACATTATTTTCTAGCAAATTCAGTTTAGTTCTGACTTAATAATAGTGGATAAAAAGCTGCCATCTTTTAGGAAGATAGATTTTTCCTTGCAGTAAATGACCACTAAGGCCAGTAGCATATGCAAAATACAGAAGAATGTGTTTAAAAAACATGGGTGGAATTAATATTAAAGGTGTAAAGTGATGTACAGCGTGAAGCATGGTCTTTGTTTATCGTATAATGCGATTGTTTCAGTCCCTCGTCACAACGGCGGGAAT